ATTGACAGATTTGACAGTTTTACATTGTTGTTATGGAGTAACTAAGGAGATTCTTTCAATTGACAGATTTACATTGTTGTTATGAAGTAACTAAGGGCATTGTTTGAGTTTCATACTTGATTGGATTTTTCGATAATATCGTGAACTCTTTCCGAATCTTCTAATAAGGAAAGTTGCTCGTTAAAAGCGCAATTTACCGTCAAAATCCATAAAATACAATGACGATGACGGTGAATCAGTTTTAATTACCTTCACCTGGCTTAGATGGTAACGCGATAGGGCGTCTCTTGGTAACCGACTGTGCATTTCAAGGGAACTCATCCGAGCATCGGGAAGAATTCGGATTATCACTTTATTTGTTACCCTACATGATCGTTTCCTACTTACTAGTAAATATTGGAATTTACAATCGATAATCCAGTACAAGTAAAACTACTAAATTGGTGCAATAAGCCTACATACTTTATTAAAACTTCACAAACCACAATACATCGACCTGTTCTGGACTGTTCTAGTTTATCCAGAACTGTTCAAATCGTTCTAAAGTTCTAAATAGTTCTAAATGGGTTTGAGCCAGTTCTGAATGATCCTAAATCAGTCTTGAACATTTTGAAAACACTCTCGAGAGCTTCTTCACACTTTCGTCCGCATCGAGCGTACAAACAATACATTTTACCGCAGGAATGCCACACTTAAACTGATCGTGAGCTTTTCTCCGGCGGCCTTATATAGACTTGCCGAATTTCGTGGCCCACTTAACTAGAAAACCTTACCGCTCACACAACCGGCTGCGAATGCAAAATTACACGGTTCAACTTAGCAAGCCGTGAAACCGGCATTAAGCGGTTCCTTGCATGGATGCGCTCCGACGGAGCCGGGGAACTCCCCGGCGGAGCGCTCCGGTCCTCGAATTGGCGCGGTCGGATGGGATTTTCGACTTATCATTCGGCGAATTTAATGGTTAATTCACAGTAGAGTGGTATTGGGATTTTTTTTTAAATTTATCTACAACGTGATGAATGTACTAAAAATACTAGTTTTTTTTTTCATTTAGTTAATCTAACGTTCGAACGGTGTTGTAATATTCGAAATGGAAAAAAAACGGTATAAATCCGAAGCGATGGAAATAAATTTGTATGAAAATTTGAAAGCTCTGCAAAAAGGCTTTTACCGTCGGTTATTCGGCGTGTATTTAGTAGTTGGCGTGCAGATTTTCGTATTTGTACATAGAGATTTAAGCCGACTGTTTCAAACAGGATTGTTTTAATACCTTTTACAAAATACGAATCGAATTTATTCCGATCGGGAGTTTCGCACACGATACTTCAATTTATACATTTACGTTATTACACTCTACAATATTTTTGAATTCATAACAAACCCGCTTTATACTCAAATACTACTACAATTATTTCACGAATTTCTTCTCCTAATCTACATCTACAAATAGCATATAAATATTATAATTTGATTACAAAACAAAGGCGTACGATTTCATTATATTATTCAAGCTTATTAATATTGAATTTCCTCGTCGGGCGTCGAAACAAATCCAATAAAAAAATTAGCATTAGCATTGCGTAGATATCCTACAAGTCACTCCCCGTGTTTAGTCAATATTTAACAGTCGAACGATCATACTGAATGCGCCAAATTAAAATTTGTGCGAGTATTAATGCATTAGTACGAATGCTATCGCGTTATACACATGTTCCGAAATACGGGGATTGGGAAATAAAGGGGTGGTCGAGGGGTAGATGAATTAATCTCGTTCAAAGAAGAAGTGTATTCCATTATGTAAGTACATCTTTAGTTTACTGTTTTTAACTATTATTAAGCTAACGCCCTGTATATAGGAACGTCCAGGAAAATAATACATAAGTGGAGTTTCTTTTCGGTTCGATTTTCGTTGGCGCTGGAATTCCGTCGTCCAATTATTATTTTTGAGTAACGTCCATTTTTCTCTTATTAGGCTTTAATAAATAAATCCCGTCCGAAGTTCGTAAAGTTTTGAGGGTCTCATTAGTTGAAAATAAAACACTCGAGACGTCATTCAGAAGAATAATAAGAAAAAAGATTTTCCCGTTATCCTGTATACAACGTGTATAGCTCGTCGAAACGACAGGGCAGTCTTTGCTTGTTTTCATCGATCTATACATGCACTTAAACAGCTACTATATTAAACAACTTAAAACCCATCATTGTTCGAAATCTTTTGCTGTGATAACCGCCGAAAAAAATTGATACTGTACGCAACAATACCAACCTATAAAACCGTCCAATTTCCAAATCCCTGTCCCATTGTTAGGGATCTCATTCCAACCCATCTGCCACCCCGCCGTCTCCTTCTCATATATACAACGACCATTGTCTACCTATACCTCTTCTTCTTCTTATTCCGGTTATCTCGGTTTCCTTGGCTCGGTCTCGAACCACTTCCGGTTAGTGCCCACGAAATCAGCCAAGTCTTTTACGGTCTTCTTGATATCTATTTATTATCCGCCATTTCTACAGGACCGTAATGCTAATTTCTTAACTGCTAAATCCACCCAGATTCATACCATGTTTATAACATTTACTATACAGTTGAAAGATGTTGAAAATTGATTTTTAAGCTTGTGTAATACTTATATACAGGGTGATTTCATTATGGGACACGAAAGAAGTGGGATGAATTCAAAAAGCACCCTGAAATTTGATTATAAATGGCGCATTATCAATACTATTTGGGTAACCTATTGGTTACCTTATATAATGTTTTCTTGTTCATTTTCTTCTATTCATTTTTAAGTAGGGTAGTAATTTTTTAAGTTTGTTACTATGGTAATGGCTATTTCCTTTAAATTTCCATTAAATATCGATCAGTCTTTAGTAGATTTTAGGCTTTGAAAACGGTTTTCCTCTAACCATTTATTTTCTCCTATACGATTCTCTGATGATGACTAGCTAATTTTTCTCGAAGGCTGTTTACATCCTTGAATTGATTTACGATTTGCGCTCGAAAAAAATAACTCATAATCAGCACCAACTTTCGAAATTCTACAACGTATTTTTCTTCTCCAGAAGCAATATATAAAGAGAAACTCTAATTTCAATCGGAGCAGAGCAACATTAAACAACTTTTTAAGTCTGTGTACATTGTCTGTTGCTGTTTATAGTGGATTTTGCCTCGACAATTCCTATCAGGGGTAGGATTTTCAATCGCGAAACCCGCCCTATTTTAACTGATTGAAAAACGTGCCCCGAGGCAGGTGAGATACAAATGAAACCAACCCCTGCGCACGGGGGAAAGATGAGTCAAACCGCTCAAACCGAAAAGCCATTGTCAAAACTCTTCTAAAATGGCCGGCTTTAAAATTTTTCACCTACACGCAAATTAATTATCGCTTTAAAGGTACGCGTATTACTCATTCCCGAATTCCCCTCGCAATCGCCCGGCTCTTCGAGGACATAAATCACAGTCGCAAACACATAAACAAAATTAAATGCAACATACTGTCGAGTACCGTAAACGTTTTGCCTCCTGCGACGGCTACAAATGTAGAACATTTTCCGCACAATAGTATTCGAAACTCCCGCATTATCCCAGCACTTTTAGAGGGTAGATACAGGCCGGTACTGGACTTATTTTTTTCGCAAATATGTAGAAAAGGCCAAATTTGAAGAATTTATTATCAATACGTCTTTTAAACGTTCTTAAAAAAGTGCTACAAATGTTTAAAAAAGTCCTGAAATGGTGTTGAATGATTCTAAGATGTACTGAACTGTTTCAAATGATTCTAGTCAGTTCTAAAGTGATTGGGTGTTCCAAATAGTCCTAAATAGTTCTAAATAGTTAGAACAGTTCTAAATGCTCCTGAAAATGTACTAAATGGTTCTGGACTTTCACCAGTTCTAAATAGTTTTTAACAATTCTCAATGATTCTAAAACAAGACCAATAATCCGCTTAGTTATAATAACATTTTTCTTCCTTTTTAAAAGAAATATACAGGAGATATTTTCCTGGAAAATTGTTAAATCCGTCACTGTACGAACGCAATTAGTACATGACTTTCGATTTCTATTAAACCAATTTCTGTACGAGTTATTTGACTACATTAAGTGCTCCACTGGATATCGAGAAGTTCGCGTCTCTAACATCCCCTTTCGCAAGATTGATTGATTAGAACCTTATTAATTAACCATTAACAATTAACCCCCAAAGGGACCAATTGTGGCACAAACATCGAGTACTAGTATCTGATTATGTATTATACACAAAAATCCGTATACAGATGTAGAATTTTCGCGAATATATCGATCGTAAAAATTCGGGTACATCCCCGATTCCGAGGCCGGGCATCATATCGGTATCAGCATCAGATAAATTAGGCGCGCCTGAACGGGGGCCCCGCTCGTTTTGCGCCCCGTTCCGGGGGGCCCGCCGACTTGGCGGCGGTGAAAAGGGCGGCGGTGGAGGGCGAGGGCGAAAGGGTGGTGTTTCCGACGTGTGTCAAGTGCAGCCAGTAACGCCGCTTCCGATGATGTCTCGTGCTAATTGGATCGGATTTTTTAATTAATATGAAAATTCCGCGATAATTTTTTTCGCTTTCGATCCGGAGTGGAACAATGCCGAAGCGTTGGGGGATGATTACTGCTGTGTTTTAATAGGGTACTAGTTAAGGTTTTTATACCAAAACGGATAATTTATATTCTTTGTTGATGTTTTAGGGTATTTTGAAGCTCTATAATGCATTGGCGGGATGGTAGAAATTCTAAAATCGTTACTTCACGCTTGATTAGGTTTTTATAACGAATAATTATCCCGTATATCTTGTTTAACGGCGATTAGCGCTGGAACGACGCTAATCTGAGTTAATTGTGGGCCGTATTTTTTGTGGAAAACTCGAAAGATAAGCCAAGTAAATCGGTTACGGTTTTTTTTATAAACCAATAAATCAAATGAAAACGCTGAAGGTGGAGATTGTGATGATTTATTTTCAAAAGTTTAAAAATTATTTAACAAAATATGAAATACTAACAAATTGAATACATTTTACAGGTATTAATCACAATAAAATAAACATGGGAATTACACAAAGTTCACCTGGTTAAATTTAGTATAATCCTTTCAAAGTGTTAAAAGAAATTACTAATTATGATTTGCATCGTTTCGTCAACTAACTTTGAAAAGATTATAATTAATTTGAATCAAAACTAATTTTTCAACCAAGGTGTTATCACAAGTCATCAAAGTTAATACATATTGCAGTAAAATAAAGGCTTTTATAAGTCGTAAAATAAACAGGATCACCCATATTTCGCTCGGAATTTTCACTCAAGTAAAAGATAATTTAGACACTTAGATAAAGTGCTTGAAAAGCCAATAATTTTGCGAAATACGCGAGCATCCCTTACGCATTGCTAATCATTTATTTCTATAAATATAACACGTATAGCTAAGATATATTTATCGAGCCAAAAAATTAACTCTAAGCATTTTGAATGCGTATAATCGATTTTCTTTTTTAGTAAACATTTCGGTAAATTTTCATAACTTTTTCACACTGAGAATAATTATTCAACCCTGCTATATACTTGTTAAAGCCTCTATGATTTTCCTAACGATGTATATACATTAATAATTCATATAATTTAATTACAAAAATGGAAGATTTGGTTTCAAATGACGAATAGGAATTAAAGTTGTGTGTATAGTACTTTCAAACAATTACATCAAAACACTGAAAAAAATTGCTACGTTTAACATCACCCGGTATAAAAGTATTTGGTGAAAAACTGTAACTTAAATCCTTATAAATTGCTCCCTATATATTAATGTAGTTATTGAGCATTCCTTCTAAAAAATTGTTAAGATTCTATAGTTAAGTGTATTTTGTTAAATATGTATATTACAATCTACTTTAGTAAATTTAATTAATAGAAAATGATAAATTTCTGCAATTCCTAAATAGAAAGAAAATAATGATTTTTGGAATGAATAAAATGCAATATTTTACTTGAGAACATTAAAATCATCCTGTAATATTTAAACTAATTACTGTATTGAAATTGCTTGCATTAGAATATACCTTTTTCTCTATTTAATTTTTATGTTGTTGTAAACAGATATTTACTGTTGAGAATATAATTCATTTTATAAAAGCTGAGATCAACTGCTTTGTTTTATTTTCCTATTGTATTGCCGAAATATGTAAGGAAAATTTAGAAATCAAAGAAAAACATGTTACACCTACCTAATTTTATAATTCCTTTTGTATATATTTTAAAACAATCACATGTATGTATCTTTATTCATTAAATGTATACCTTTTAAAGCATATAGTTTTATTTGGCAGTGATATTCAGATGTGATTGGAGGATTAATATCATTGTATGAAGCTGTCTACATCCTAAGGAAAAAGTCTTAATAGAGAAATACATTGATATTTGGTCGATTTTTAATATTTTTACAATGAGAATTTTAAAGTAAAAAACAGCGGTTTCAAAGACGATTTTTTTGCGCATCAACAACTTTTTAAACATTTATGATCAATAAAATTTCGTAATTAATTTTAAGGCTGCTCTCGTAATTAATCCACTAGGATTTCTTCGAATATTTATTGCACGATTGCACAACCCCGATATAGCAAAGAGCAACGCCCGTCAAACAAAAAACTCATCCTGGAAATTTTCGCCACTACAAACCTCACTCCAACTTCCACAACCTTCAAAACACTTCCACTTACCTGGGCAAGTTCTACAACTCCCCCTAATCCTTCTCGCTCGACTGAGCCTGCTCCAAGTCCGGCTCGGCGGCGATAGACAATGTCAACGGCATCATCTTCAGCGGGTGCCCGTTCAACTTCACGTCCGCGTTGCGCGTGCTCGCCTCCTTGAAGTCCCTGCTGTTGCAGGAAACCGACCCCGGACTCACCGCGGGCTTGCCCTGCGACTTCCCCTTGCTCGTCACTTGGTCTCTGACGGCCATTTGGTAGGCCAGCTCGAAAGCCTGGCCCAACGTCAGGATTATATCGATGGCTTGCTCCTGCAATTCAACGGGTTTGTTTGGATGGGAGAGTTGCGTTGGGAGTTGTACTCACCGAAGAAACTGCTTGGAAAACGTGGCAGTAAAAGGCCTCGGCGTCTTTGGTGATGTAGGCGAAGAACGCCTGGGATTCCATGTCTTGGCACACGCAGTTCATGTTTTTGATTTCGTGTTCGCAGATGATTTTCTGAAAGTTCGCTTTATTATGGGAGTTTTAAAAGAGGAATTGGAGTTTACCTTTTCCAAAGGGTTGATGAATTTAACGCCTTTGTAGGACACCGACAGGCAGATTTCCTCGCTGGGATGATCGTTCGATTTTATCACAGTCCGGATGGATTTCTTCGTGGATTCGGTGCCTTTGAACTCCTTTACCAGCGTCGATCCCAAGTACTAAAAAACATATTTTTAACCTCGAGCTTGGAATAACTTAATTATCTCATACATTGGCTGTGTATTTGACGCAACCGGTTATCAGCAAGATGGGCTGGTGCCTCCACTGGGACTTGATCGAATTGTTTCCTCCCACGTAGATTTCCGTGGGGGACTTCTTCTCCGGTTCCTTTTTAATTGGAGGCGGCGGGGCCGGCCTGGATTTCTTGTGCCTGTGCCTTATGGTGCCTGTATTACTGTTCACGGATATCGTAGAGGGCGAGGGAAGCTCGGGAATGGGTTGAGTATTTTTCTATAACAAATTACATTACAAAAATGAGATTAATGAGTTTGATAACTTACTAAAGAAGATCCGAAATCGGTGATAGTTTCCAACTTCGGTCCAGCAACTATGTGTTCACCGCTGCTAACGCTGGCCAGAATGCGCTTCCTGTGGCCGATTTTTTCGATGTCCAACACAGCCGATAATTCGACGTCCCAAATCCTCTTCACCCGCTCCATGTCGTGGTACAAATGCTTCTCGAAGGTCTCGTAATACTGCTCCAAATTGATCCGCGTCAGCCACGTTTTCACGGTGTTCTGCTCGTTGTTGTTATTGCAAGCGTTTAGAGAACTCTTCGATATCTTCGTCGGCAGCTGCTTCACCGAATCCAGCAGGATTTGCCGCTCCAGTTCGCTCGTAATGCCCATTTCTTTGACATCCCCTTCCTCGATCACTCCGTTCTTAAACACACACTGAATAACGCGAACCAAAAGGGATACTCAATCATTCGCTTACCAAGAAATTAATATCGTCGAATCCGTTGCTCACGAACAGCCCCACGTAATCCCCCATTCCCAGGCCTTGCAGCCACTTCTCCACCGTGTTGGTCTCGGCGGGGCCGGCCAGACTGTGTTGGGAGCAACTGATCGTCATCAATCGGCTCTGGAACTCCTTCTCCAATTCGGCCACGAATACCGATTCTCTGACGATGCCTGTACCGAAGGAGGCCATTATCTCCTGGATTTTCGCCCATTCCTCCTGCTCGTCGAAGGGGCTCAGGGCCGACACGCGGTCCTTGTGCTCCTTGAGAAAGAAAAAATCCCACCCTCAAAGTTTCATTGGTTTGTATAAGCGATGTGGAGCACAGCATGGGGATCTTGGATAATTTGTGAAATGTGGAAAATTAAAGTTGTGCAAGATCCCCGTGGTGTTTGCACACACTATAAAACTTTTCTAAGATAACACATCAGGTAATAATACTTTCGAACGTAGCAATTTTCCAATTAACCTGTTACCTTGTTCTCTTTGTTCTCTTTGTTGTCGAATTCCTTTTCGGAGCTGGAGGATTTTTCATTGTCGCTGCGAACTGGCTCGCCGTTCGAGCTGTCGTAAAACCGTTTGAGTTTCTTTAGGGTTTTGGGACGCTCGGCGGGCGTGTTGGTGTTGATGTTTTCGAGCACTTTGGGAGCGGCGCCTTTCGTTAGACCTGCAATTGATGCGCCGGGGGGCGGTGTAATCGGGTGTGTCTCGCTCGATTCGAACTTACCGGCGAAAGGAACGTCGGCGTTGTACTCTTCGAGGATGTTATCGACGCTCCTGTCCGATAAGGAGACGCTGCTGGAGAAGCTGCCGCTGGAGCCGTCGAATATTAAGAGGTATTCGTCTTCGGTTTCGGTTTCCATGTCCTTCGATCTCCTCTTGTATTCCTGGTGGAGCCATGAAGGTTGTGATTTATAAATGACAAAGTTCATAGAGTTCAAGGTAGCATGCTTTTTTACAACCTTCCAATAATTTGCCTGCTGTATCGAAAAGAATCATCATGCTAAAACTGGTGCAGAAAAATTCGATGTGCTCGGTGATTTCATGAAAGGGTGATGTTTTTTTTTTGGAAAATGGCCATGCGGAAATGAACAAAGCTTTTAAATTCGCTCGTTTAAATTTGCGCTGTTTTATCCAAATAATTTGTATATTTTTTTATTTGAGTTTATATTAAATTTATAATCGAGCTTAAAAGAAACAAGTTTTAAAGCGTAAGTAATACCTACCTACATAATTATTTACTAAATATCATTAAGTAGTTTGAGTTTTATTTGTGTGTTTTTTTCGTGTAAAATCGGTCAATTTAATACTTACATTAATCTGAAAAAAAAAACAGTAAGCTCAAACTTAACCCAGGCTTTAAATAAGCTGTAATATGGCGGATTCTTCTAGCAGGAAACGGTAACAAAAAAAACGCCAAAATGCCAAAAAAGCTTTATTTTATTTTATACAACAAAATATTTTATTAACATTTAAATAAAAGGAAACAAAAAATGCTAACAAAAAAAACATAAAAGTATAGCGATAAAGAAGCATAGGAAGGGATGTTAAAAAAATCACGGAGTTATGAATGTTTTTTAACATCTTAAAAATTAGTAATAAAAAAAACGGAATGTTAGTTAAACAAACTATAGAAAATAATATGATATAAATAAATGTGTAGTGTTAAATAAAATCTTTATGGCGTTATTGCAATTAAATTTTTTATGAAAAATTCTAAACAGGTGTTCTGAAGATAGATGAAAATATGAAGTCCTTGGACATCCTTCAATAACCTTTTTAAATACTTGCAACATTCAAACTGCGAAGAACTTCAAATGTTCAACAGTTTCCAAAACACCCTATATAAAATTATACCAAGATGAAATGTAAAAAAATCTATTCATTTAAATGGGTAATTTTCTTATCGATTTACCCAAATAAATATACTCACTAAAATACCCCATCAAAAAAAACGATGAGAATAAATACTTCTTAAAAATAGTAATGCACTATTTTTTGTTAATTAAAATGATAAATTAGGAGAACTTTCACTTTATAATAATAGACTATTTCATTTAATGGTTTAATAAACGAAATCATAAAAATTTCAGAAAATATAATCTGTGTTTGATTAAACGCATATTATTTACAATTCTAGTATAAGTTTTTATACGGAGGAAAGCTAAAGCTTTTAGCTGAATTACCCTGAAGCACACCCAAATTTAAGCAACGTTAATGTAAAAAAAACATTTACAAAGAATAATAATAATTAGAAATTTTCACCATGTGTTGCCCATATAGTTTATTTTTTAATACAACAGTGGTTTTAACAGCGGTTTTCTTATCGTTTAGGCCAGAAATATTTATTTACAAACGTGCTTTCTCTGTTTAAAACGTTTTCAATGTTTTAAAAATATAAATTGGAATGTTCGTGTGTCATATAAATGAAAAAAATATAGTAAAAACTTCTGAATTTTTTATGTTTCTTAACTTTCACTTCTTTTTTAAAACACAATAGATAATTAAACGTAACAAAAGGTATAAATCCTTTAGTACTACTTAAATATAAAATATATTAAAAAAATCGTAACAAAAAAAAAACGGTAATTAATTTTGGATAATTATACAGCCAACGAAATATTCGAATTTTGACCAAATATTCCTTAAAATTAACGAGGACAAACGAAAATAACGCAAAAATACTACTCGGTGCACTTTAAAACGAAACATGCTCTAATGCTGTATGTTTTGAAAATAATACTGACTAAACACAACTCAGGTTTTCCAATCGAGAACGTGCACAAAAAAATCCAGCGTGTATATTTCATGAAATCCTGGATACAAACACTCATGCCTTCACAAGCTCACCTGACTCAACGGACGAATTTTGTCGTAAATAATACTCTCAGCCTGCACCGCCGACGGCGGCGGATGGTCCGGCGTCGGGGGTTGATTGTAATGCGTCGGACTCAGCGGGTAACCGCCCCTGGCCGTCTTCTTCTCGCCCTTCGCCGGCTCCTCGCCGTCGCTGGAGATCATTATGAAGGCGCTCGACACGAACGTCGTCTCCGGCGCCGACGAACTCGCCGCCGGCTCCTCCTTGTCCTTGTGCTTCCTGCGGAAATCGTACTCCTCGTACACCTCGGGGTGTCTGCGCAACTTCCTGCGCGGATTCTGCTGCTTGACGATCATGTTCTCGTACATGGACGTGATGGCGATCGGTTCGTGCTTCTTCCTGCTGTCCAGGTCCTCGCTTTTGCCGCGTTGCAATTCGCTCCTGCGGACGATGGGTTAATCAAACGTTTGGAGGTATATTTTGATGAAGGAAGTGAAAAAAAGCGCTAAAGATTGAAGCCTGGAATGAAGGGATCTTGTACCGTTTGGTTGCTGGTAGTTTCCAGAAGAAAGAGATGAGGTTAAAGTTCATCTGTGGGTACTAAACAATTTTGAAAGACTGATAAATGAAGACCTCTTGAGGACGGTAAAAATGTTAGAAGACCTGGAAAACTTGAGGCACATGCGACAGCAGAAGAAAGAGGAGTTTCTAACTGTTACAGTAAATTACCTTGGTCGTTCCGGTTGCTCGTCGTCCAAGGCGATATTGAACACGTTCATTTCGACGTATTGATCCATGCTCCTGCCGTGGCCGAGGCGGTCCCGGCGGTTCTCCTTGTCGAAGTCGTTCAGGTTGCCCTGGCTGCGGGTGCCGCTGTGCGCCAGGAACAGGTACTCGTAGGCGCTGTTGCTGACGCCGTCCACCGACATCGACATCGGCTGGACGTGCGTGGGCGATATGGATATGTTCCTGCGCGGCGGTTTCTTCGGAGGCGTCGGCTGCAAGGACGAAAGTAACCGTAGCGAAACTTTTATCATCGCTGCAATTATTATCTTTACCGAAACTTTGCTGTTCGATCCGGGACTGTAGCCGCCTCCCTTGTTCATGGGTATGTACAGGGGCGTGCCGCCGCTGTCGGGCCTCTTGGGGTAGTACCCGCAGCTGGAGGCCGTCGACGAGACGCTGATCTGGTCGGACTCCCTGCTGGCGCTCAAGTAATTGAAGTCCTCCGAGTGAGCGCTGGAGTCCATGAATTGCTTGGGCACGCAGGGTATCTGGTAGAGACTGTTATCCGATTCCCTGGAAGAATCAGAATTACTATGGAATCCGCAGGACGTCGCTGATAGGTAGGATGTGGTCGAGGCGGTACTGGCTTTGCGCAGGTCGAGCTGTTCTTTAAAATTAAAAGTTATGCCGTCCAAAGGGTAATCGTCTAAAATCGGCCTCGGTTTCGGTCGTTTCATTATCGGCAGGCTCTGGTAAGGTTTTGTGTTGCGCCTAAAACATGCTCTAGTGCTTAAAGGAAGTCGGCCCAAACTTGGTTTGACCTCGTTTAACATTTTGTTCTTGTATAGAAAATCAAAATTTTTTATGATGTTGCAAAAGGTCAAACCATTTGCAAATAATAGAAAAAGCGTTTTAAAAGAGTAAAATAATTAGATAAGAGAGTAGATAGAAGTTCTAAGCGTAATCTAATAAGCTAGAGAATAAGTGATTAATTAGATAATTTCTAGATGAAATTTTATCAAAATAAAATCGAAACTTGCTATTTTACTCGCACTCACACAATCTTCCATAGTTTTCAATAAATTCAGAGGGAATTTATAAGCAATTAAATCATTTTTTTACCTAATAATAGACCTGCTACAATTACTCTTCAACATAGGAAGTTTACTACACACACATTCAAAGCTAACTAAATACAATCTATAACTATCACTCAACGCGCGAAATTTAAAATCGCTAATGAATAATTCTTACATTTTCAAATTCGTCATCGGCACGTACGCATCTTCGTTTTGATTAACGTCTCGTGTGGGTGCATTTCTGCGGTTCATGCTGTGGAAAAAAAATCATGCAAAACGAAAAACGAACGTTTAGTGTACTCTCACAGGTGTGTTCGGTGTATTTACAAATAAAAATTCACGATGATATTTTTAGGCCGAATTTATTCGAGCGACTTACATGGAAATGCCGGACACCCCCGACACCCTTCTGTCGTCGAAGGCTTCCGGGGGACGCGCGTGCCTCTGCACGAAGTCCCCCCATCGATGCGGGGACGTGCCGGGCGAAGGATCGGTGGTCGCCGATCTGGTGTTTTTCGACGACGGTCTAACGTTCTCGTACGGGCTACCTGCGAGCGAATTAACTGGCGAATTTAACGCCGAATGTTTGTTTAATTGCGCGAACAACGCGACTGTATTACCTAAATCGGAATCCGTATTTGGCACTGTTGGAAACGGCTGGCTCACGCTCTCCCCGTCGCTGTCCACCAACGGTAGACCCCGCTTGTGGCCTTTAAATAGAATAGTAAAGTAGAGAGAAGAGGTAGAGAGAAAAGGTAGAGAGAAGAGGCAAAGAGAAAAGGTAGAGAGAAGAGGTAGAAGGAAGAGGTAGAGAGAAAAGGTAGAGAGAAGAGGCAAAGAGAAAAGGTAGAGAGAAGAGGTAGAGAGAAGAGGTAGAGAGAAGAGGTACAGAGAAAAGGTAGAGAGAAAAGGTAGAGAGAAGAGGCAAAGAGAAAAGGTAGAGAGAAGAGGTAGAAAGAAGAGGTAGAGAGAAAAGGTAGAGGGAAGAGGCAAAGAGAAAAGGTAGAGAGAAGAGGTACAGAGAAAAGGTAGAGAGAAAAGGTAGAGAGAAGAGGCAAAGAGAAAAGGTAGAGAGAAGAGGCAAAGAGAAAAGGTAGAGAGAAGAGGTAAATATAGCTTACGTTTCAATATGTGCATGATCTCTTGCGACGCCTGGGCAGTGTTGAACTGACTGAGCAGATCCATCACGGTGTAATTATTCGAATCCCTTATGGAAGTGTTGACGCCGTGTTCGAGCAACGTTCTCACCACCTCGACTTTTCCGCACAAAGCGGCCTCGTGTAGGGCGGTTCCCGATTTGGTTCTCATGTTGACGCTGAAACCGGCCTTCAGCAGGACCTCGACCACGGCTCTGGAATATCAAAAATTTGCCCGTGTATTCTCGTCCGATTTTTCGATGAATATTGCATCGCCAATGTACACAAAAGCCGAGCGTGACGCCATCAAATAACCGGGTATTTATTTTTCGCTTCGAATGGTATATATACCCGTGCATTTCTCGCCTGATCAGCTAAATAGCCTGTTAAAGAATTCGAGGCGATCGAGCGAATTCGCGCGAATTCTACTGGCAAATTCGACTTATTGCAGCTTCGAATTACTCCACTCTTATGCGGAGTGCTTGTACAGAACGGAGCGAGGATTGTTCGAATTTCCTGCGGAAGGATTTTTACCACCTTTTTAATGAATTTAATCGAGGTATTATCGTTTGCTTATAGACTCGTTTTTGGTCAAATATATAAAGATTTTTGTCGTTACTGGAAAAGTGCTGGTGAAATTATGGATGAGACAATCTGTATCTAGTGTAAAATGTGTCAATGAACCCTCTATTTATACGACGAGCATTTAAGTGTGTATCTACGTGTACAATGCTCGTTAATTATCGGTGCACTTAATTTCGTTTGCTCGAATTAACCGCAAAAAATGCAGCTTCCATCGCGCTTATAATATCCTACGAACTCCTGCATATAGAACGAATTCAATGCGACATTTTTTCGAAATTTTTCCAAACATATCCAGTAAATACGCAATGTGCAATATACGCGTGTGCTGCCATGCATAAGCGCACCAGATTGCATACAGATGGTATCAACATTGCTATTTCTCCGCAACTATAGCACACACACCGTCCGCAATATAATCATATTTGCTAGCACCAGCAACGATATTGCATCAGGTGTGTCACTTTCTAGTTTCCTGTATCCCGGCCATTTCGATTATCGCGGATTAGATTCCCGTATTCGATGCGACCAAATAATGTTTAATATCTAAATAATTTTCTCGATTATGACCATCAATTGAATTGTCGTTACTTCATCTCACTATAACATTATACAGTGTGACACCCGGTGTGTATTTGACAAAGTTAAATATGCTGTCAATGTTATTTTGGGTGTTTTTTCTGGCGCTTTTCGATGGCCGGGAATCGTTCAATTTCTTCAATTCGAAGCACAACATACTGGAATTGGACGATGAGACGTTCAAAAGTGCAACGGCCAGTAACCCGTACGTTTTGGTGGAATTCTACGCGCCTTGGTGCAAATATTGCCGAAATTTCGCGCCGGAGTACGAGAAAACCGCCAATTTACTGCAAAAATCGAGTCTGGATATCCTGCTAACGAAAATCGACGTGGACAAACACGCGGACGTGGCCAAAGCTCAAGACGTAAAAGGATACCCCACGTTAAAACTGTATAAATATGGGCAACCGGCCAAATACGATGGCGAGAGAGACGCCGGTAAAATCGTCCAATGGATAAGAGATAATCTATAAAATATTGCGAAACCACCCCTAAAATTCCAAGTACCCGTTACGTTATCAATATTAATCTACAGTGCATATCGCGATAATTAAAAACTTCCTCCAATCGCCACCGCATCGACCGAATTTGTACAACACACGCACACGTTATACATCCGCAGCTAATAAGCAATTATAGATGTCAGTGATGTGTTATGGATTGTCGAATGCGATGACTAGTTGCAATTACTGGCCATGCAGAAGGCGACCATTCTACCGAAGATGATCCAGAATTATTGCGCCATTGACGTGATACCGATCGCAGGTAGATCTATCTCTGTGCAGTAAACAAGCCGCCGCTATTGGGGGAAAACCCGGCTGCTCGTCGGGAAATTGGACTAGAGATTCGATGTGTTTTACACGCTTTAGCGAATAAAAATTGAGGTAAATGTTTTACTCACTTGTGACCGTTCCTGCTTGCTAGGTGAAGAGGGGTGTGCGGAAACACCGTGTCGGGTGTAGTTCGTTTCAGGCATTGTATTAAAGATGGGTCAGTTCTTACCAGTAATTCCACGGTATCGAGTCTAGAAGAAGTAAAAAAATATTCGAAACAAATCGCTATTAAGGAATTCCCAATTTTTTTTAAACTAACCTTCCGTATTGCGCTGCTAATTCGAGCGCCGTTTCGCCGCGGCAATTTCTAATCCCAGGATCACAAGCGTGTTCGAGCAGGAGACTAACGACTTGCGTGTGACCATATTGGGCGGCACAATGCAAGGCAGTTTCATCGTCTTTCGTCTGGAAATAATACAAAAAATAACTCGCTAATAACGCCGACTTTATTCTGTACCTGACCTATCGATTGATTCACAAATAAAAAACCGAAGCCAATGCACAAATCTCCTCGAATTTCAGTACAAAAAAAAAGCGAATAAGGCACGATAGAGAACGAAAATAAGCAGAAGACGTCTTAGCTGTTTTTCCGGAGCAGATCAGCCCGGCATTTACAAAACTTTCGGATGCAAAACTTGATGGGATCTTTCCAATTTCGCGTCCGTGCCCGCTCGGCTGCGAGTAATATGAAAACTGTGCAACGTGCCATTTCCACTGGGGCCGGGGCCGGGGCGTTTGCCTGCGAAATCCGAAGAACAGAAAACGAGGAAAGGACTGCTGCCGCTGACAGACAACTTGTCCGTTTGAATTTTAAAACTGAAACGAACGGTTAAATCCTTTTCTTTTCGGCTTCGCTTGCTCGGAGTTTATTCGGTTTGTTTTTTTTTCGAATTCGATCCCATCTGTTTCGTTACTAACTAACTAAAAATATCGATCGGCGGAGCGGGCGCGCGATAAATCCCCGCCGAACGACATATTTTCATCTAATCGAATGTTCCGGCTGATCGAGCGCCGGCCCAATAAAGCCGTATAATTACCGGGGAGTAATGATGATCACTTGAACTCGTCCGATCGGTTCGCTTATTGAATTGTCTACGATTTTCCTTCATTATCGACTTGGACAAAGGGGCCGGAGGGTCGGCGAAGGGCCGACATGTCGGTGCATCAATGCAGACGAAATGACACGGTATACATCGCCAGTCGGTTTGTCAAAAGGTCCGATTGTGAGCGGGTTTCGTGAAAAGGCCCAGAGGACTGTTAGAGAGGTAACGGTGATTAATTCGCATGTGGAATACACAGTAGCGGGAACGGGAATTGTATCGTACAAAAGGGGTTTTAGATTTGATTGGATTCGCTGTATCATTTACTAATAGCACTTTTATTAACTCCGTATAATTCTCTTTGATGTGTTAAAAGTGATTCTTAAATTAGGTACACTTGAAATGCATTAGAGTGTTTATATAGAATGGAATTTTTAACGAACAAAAATCAACATGGAACGCCCATGTGTTGAAATAGGCCCCCATGTACTACAAATTGCTTGTTTGATTGCGACCCGTAATTCAATTGATTTATTCTCCTGTTAAGGTTAAACTATGTTTCAGCCAGATTTATTGACTTATTTAATTAATTACATGTACATACTCCCACACATAATAAGAAACAAATTTGAAATCCAACACCTAGTTTCATCGAAATTCTACCATCATCACATCTACACAATAAAACAACTTTCACTCGAAACTGAGGCGTCCCCAAAAAGTGTGATATAATTTACGAATGCCATCATTAGAGCTGTACTTACAGTTAAATTAACATTGCATATAGACGGGCCGGATAATAATAATCTAACTATTTCGACGCTTCCCGACCAAGCAGCCAGGTGTAGAGGAGACGAGCCCTTGCTATCTACAATGTTGGTCGAAGCATCGTGTTCCAGGAGCAATTTGACGATGTCTCTGTGGCGGAAAAGCGACGATTAATCGATGTAATGTACAATTTATTCGCAATTACCGACCTATGTCCGTTTAGGGCGGCGTGGTGAAGGGCAGAGTACCCGCTGCTGTCTTGCACGTTCGCCCCTGGACCTCTCCTAAGGCTGCAACAAAGTTTATTTTGATCTCAATGTTATGCAATTAATGTATAATTTTTCTGCGTATTTTCTACGTTATCAGTAAACATGTTGGTTGAACTGGTAACCTTGACATTGCGTTTTCCTTTGCAGCAAACTTTATCTTATCTCTTTCAATGCGTGGTGAACTATTGTGATTGGAAATATGTATGCATGTGTTTATGCTCGTATATTTAATTTAGAACGCCGTTTAATTAGAACAAATTAGCAAAGTGCTATAAAATAAATTAAACTACAAATATGTATGTTTAGTAGTCAAAATTATGTATGTAATTAGTGTAATTGTACTAATAACTAATAACCCATTATATTCATTAATAGCGAGCTTTCATGATGAATTATAAAACGAGTAGTGTCTGAAAATGTGCGTAATATTTATAATAACCGCAGGAATATAGAAAAAATGAATAAAAAATTAATTTAATTAGTGTATATTTTATTCATTAGGTAGGTAATGACTATGTGCAGCAATTATTAAACGCAGTTCAAATTAATTTTCGAAAGCTAATTTTATTATACGGGAGCAAATTGCATTTTCCGATATTTTGAAGTATGTGAAGCCGGTTTTTCGAATAAAGGCCTAATTGAAACCTGATATTTTACAAGTACGTTACTCGCTAATTTCCTGCTAATACAGGATGTTCAACTTTAATAGTAAAATTACAATAGCAATTCTCTGAAATTTATATAATAGCTAAGCATATCTAAGTCGATTACTATAATAATATCAGCTAAATTTGTAATGGTTTCTTATAATTTTGTTGTGATTTTTTACTGCTCGTTTGTCTATTAATAAAGCGCTTTATTGCCTATTGAAATAATTCCTTGTAAATATTCATAAGCAAATTTGTTTTCTAAATGAGATTAAATTAGCTGCATTAAAATTTCGATTTTTTTAAGCCGAAAATTGTCATCGATGTTGGTGAAACCCTGTAGATAAAACTATGCCACTTCAAAAAGCAATAACGTACCGAGAAGCCGTTAAAAGCCAATAATAAGGGGTGTGAATTATTTTCCCTTTAATATCGTGGGATTAGAGCCTTCATATAAACACTTGAAATTGATTAATCCGAAAATCTCATATTGCTGACCTCGTTCACTTTATTTCATTTTCGATTGCTCGAATACAATTCACATTGCTTTCTCTGTTTTCTTTGGGAAACTTCAGTGGTGTTTTATTGTTGCATATAAGCCCTTTTGGCGCCAATCAACATCCCAAGGATTGATTTGAACTTTAATAAAATTATGCATCTTTAATTATCTAGTACATTATGCATGTTCTGGATTATCTATATTAATTTTAGACTAGAAGAGTTCAAGTTTACGTAAACCCTGGACATTCCGAAGTTTTTAATATTCAAAAGAAATTTTGATGGAATAATCGAAGGTTCCGATTCATTTAGCAATTTAATCAGCGAACTCCGCCGAGCAGAAGAACTGCTCGGATCAATTGCGGAGAAATTCGACTTAATTAATTAAAATTCGTTTTGGAATCAGAAATACCGATTGATCGGGCGACGATATTAGATCCGATTGGCAATTGACAATAGGCCGGGATGACGAAAACGTGAGTGCTTTTCCATCAATTTGGTCACTTGCTGCTATTCAGGACAGCAGGAATTATATAAAAATAACGCGATGATTGACAAACAGATCAATATCGAATTATTTATCGCGTCTGAGGGACCTGTTAATGTTTCAGGCGCCCTACCGCAACTCTCCCTTATGTTGCGGGGTCGTTAATTCCACAGGTTGAATTCGACAGAATTCCACGTTCGCTCTATTATAAGTTTCGCGTGATAGAAAGATATTAGGAGTAGAAAGGATGTATTAAGTAAAAGTTTTATACCCTTCTGTCTGTGATGATGTAGACATATGGAAAACGCATTAATTTATTTACTACTATATTTTTTTTATATTTAATAAACATAAGTGAGGCTTTCACAAGTTGTATACAAATTTATGAAAGAAAAATCGTGGTGAAAATAAGAAAGCGGACTTGTTTAGTGCGACATTGCACTTTACAATTGTTTACAACGAGTAAACATTGATTTAACAAGTAAATACTCGTTATGGAGTAAGTAAAGTAAGTCAGGTGAAGAAAATTAACTGGTATACCAGTGTTTGAGACCATTGTTAACAAGATAAGAATTTATTTGATTTTGTAATGGTATATTTTCGAATAAACTGGTGTAGTTTTGTGAATTAGTTTGGACTGTAAGAATTAGCTCGTTATTTTTTATTTATTTGCGCTGTTATCAGTCTGAAAATAATTTTTATGCACGTATTGTTGGTTCAGCTAACAATGATGAATCATTGCGAATTTTCTAGGAAATATTCGCATATTTTCATATAAACAAAAGCTCATTTTCATGTATATAGATTTATCAGAACCGTTGATTTATTTATTTTTAAAATATTAGGTATGCAAATGAGTAATATGGCTGTTGACACGATTCTATGTATGAAATTGTTCATTAATAAATTTAATTAACTAACTATTTGATTATCTTCTTCGGGTGTTAATTTGCACACAATCCATTCGACAGTTTTACTCCTTGTTCTCGATGTTAATGTCCTCGATGTTTTTATGGTTGAAATATTTTCAATTTCATTGTAAGCCGTATAACAATAAAGTAAGAGAAACCGAAGAATTTCATTGCCAGACGGGTGTATTTGTAAAGAAGTAAACGACCTTTGAAATTAAGATGTTATTTTCGGTCATTAGTATATTACCTAGAGAACCAATCAATTAGCCGTTCAATTAGAAACACCGGACATAGTTTGTGATTAAAAATAAGTGCTTAAAAGTCTAATTACCCCAATGATTATACAAATAAATATGCCGGGTCAGTATAGAATCTTTTGTAATCATATTCAGAACCATTTAGAATTTTCCACAATGATTTGTAACCATTTAGGAACTTACCTGGACCATTTGAAGCAATTCAGGACTTTCTTTGAACTCTCCAAAATTTATCCAGTCTAGGATTATTTGGAATGGTTCAGAATAAATTAGGAAAGCCCAGAACTACTTAAAAATCGTAAAATTTGCTTGTAAAGTCTTGTAATTTCTTGTAATTTTTCTATCTTCAGGCCGACCTGGTACAGTTCGTAATACATTACTAGATTACAAAAAAAATTGAACGGTATAGGCAATAATAAGAATAATACAAGTTCTCATACACCTTTTTGATCATTGAAGATTTCCTTTGTGAATAATTACCTGATTACTAGAAGTAATAAACCGTTATAGTAAAAAATCTCCAACGAAACACTGTACTCTGTGGAAGCTCTATTGATAACTTCCTGGCCTTGAATAACAGTAGATATCTAATAATTGGACTTGATGGATTAATCGATAATTAAATGGTTCTTTTATAATCCAAAGTCTAGACATCTTGCAGTTATAACATATACTATAATGCAGGTACATACATGTTCCGGTTCAGCGCGCCCCCAATGGCATTTATTTCGTGTTAATAATATAATATACAAATCCCTAGGTTTTTATTAATTCGATCGAAACATGTGCGACATTAACAAACTCTATCTACACCGACATTACGAGGATTCTCGTTTTGTTTCTGCCTAATACCATAAACCGATTATTTCCGTTGTGGATTTAAAATCGAATACCTATATTTGGAAATATATTTATTCATAAAAACAAATCCGAAGGAAAATCCTTTACTATTCACAACCGTTTTTCACGGATGTCGGGCATAATAAATTGTATAGCGCGATTTGCCGGTATTATCTACTTATTTTTATTTTTGGTTAATAAATAATTATAATCAAAAATTATGAAATTCAATAAAATCGTGTTTATTAACGAATTCATTAAAAATGCAATATTGAAAATATTTACTACGTGTAATATAATATTTGTGATTGCTTAATATGTTTTTGTTGTAATTTTAATTAGTGTAGGTATATGTTGTAATATTCATATATGAGAAATGTCTGTAAAGTAAACTGCATTGTTAAATTATTTTTTTTAAATATCTCTACTTTTATTCATGATTAATTGGGTAATTATGTTTACTTAAGGAAGTCGGTATCAGCTGGTTCATATTTATACATTATTATTGAAATTGCTGCTTGTTATTCAAGCAATAATGTGTAGGATTGAAAGAAACTTTCTATTTACACCAAGCTATTAATTACCTACTTAAATTTCGTTTCAAACTAAAAGGAAACGAGTGTTAGTTAATGAATATTTAGGAACATATTCTAGTATGTTTAATAAAAAAATCTCCCGTCGATGTAACAACAAAACAACACCGATAAGCTACCATAAACGTCGAATTGTTAGTCAAACAACGTGTAAATAGATAACAAAACGCCAGGAAAACGGCACATCCTATTCAAAAAACGCATTCGAAAACACGATAACACGCCAGCTGATCCGAAACGTAAACCCACCTTGCGAGAGGACCACTCCTTTTGGCTCTTTGGCCCAAAATCTTCTCGACCACGGCCACGTTGCCCTTCCGGGCAGCCTCCAACAGTTCCTGGTCTTTGCCCATGGCCCTTCGACGAGCCTCCTGTTCATTTACCAGTCATATTTACCACGTATCTTGCAATACACTACTATACGCACTCCCGTACTACGGATTCATTGATCGCAGACAGCCATGTTTGCACTGTCGCGCCCCTGGCGGTTACTAGCTCAATCAATTCACGTTCATCTTTTGTCGTTCATGGTTTTTCGAGCGGCGTTGCCTCGTCTCGGTTTTATCCCAGCTAAAGGGATTCAAGGGATTGATGAATGTATAAGAAATTAAATAGATATGTTTGTTGTTATAAAACGTTTAGTTAATTTTGTATGTTTATAAATTATTGGTTTCTTCGATTGATATGTTTCTAATTCATTGATAAATTTTTATGAATGGGTCGATGTGGCAACGATGTTTAGTTTACGCAGTTTCGGGAGGTAGTGGTTCGTTTTAATTCTGTAGTTTTTGTTTGGTTAATTCATGATTTATCGTATCATTAAGTATATAAAATGTAATCAAACGATTATTTTTGATTTTTTTCTTATTTAGTTTTTGCTATCTTCGGTTTAAACAAAGTTGACATGAATCCATTATTTACTTTAGTATGCTTTACTTCTATTCTATTCGGTAAGTATACCACCTTTAAAACAATCTCTAATCAACAATGTTATAATACTTGCAAGTGTTTATAATAATAATAAAGTATTATTGTGTATTCCCGAACATAACCTCAAAAAATAAATGTTTTTTCAGCTGATAGCGCTACTATCAACATCGACTTGTCCACGTTCCATCCCGGTGATGAAAATTCCAACGTACTGAAGCATTATTACAATATAACGGATAGAATTACGGCGATTAACGTAGCGCGTATAGCCGATGACGTTGGATTCTTCGTAATACAAGCGCACACTTTCATTGAAAACGTAACCCTATCTAATAGCACTCAACCTGTTGAGGGAAGCTCCTCGACTGGCACTAATATCGGTTTAGTTTGGCTGGCGAAAGAACAAAAATGGGAACCCTTCGCTAGGTTTTATTTGACGAGAAACGCGCCAATCGACAATTCAATTCGATTGCTGTTGGTTATCAATGTGTATGATGAACGTGGTAAGAGGGAATTTAAATCTACACCAAGCAGGTGTATCTGTATGCTGTGAATGAAGATTTTTTTCGTTACAAAATTATGTTATTTTTGATTATTAGAGTGCTACATCTTCATCCTTGGTTCCTCACTAGTTTGATCCACAGATCAGTTATTCTGTTATTTGTATTGATTTAGGTTATTTTATCGCTGATCCCTATCCCTTGAAGCCTACAAACCCAGACTTGTAGAACCTAGACTTCCAGTTCTTGACCTAATCATTCTTGGTCCTTTAACATTTTGAACACCATATCAATTCTTCTGCTAATAGTAAGGATTACTCTTATTTTACCCATGATGAATTGTTGCCTTTAAAGCCTATAAACCTACACTTCCAGTTTCTACCTCAGCATCATTGGTCCTTGATCCATTTGAACACCAGATCTAATCTACTAATAGTAATTACCTACAGTTTTTTGCTACCATCAATGGAATTTTTGTAGATCCAGTACCAGGCGGTTGCAACCTTTCGTTTGAAACCGACATAGCGCCGTATCAAATAGCCGAATACACCGATGACGTTATAATAGTGAAGAGTCAACCGCCTTCGGTCGATGGATCGGGACGGTGCGATGACAAGAAAGTACAAGTGGACTTGTACCATCTCTACCTGGGCGAGCGCGACAATACGATAGAGAGTTATTTCGACAATATAGAGAAAATGTTGAGCGTTCGAGATATCATGGGGCACGGAACGATGGTGCCTGATGTGGACGTCAAGCGCAAGTATTCGAGGATGTATAGTTCCTATAGGGGTACTGGTGAAGTTTTCGCTGTGATTTCTAAGTTCGGTAACGGCACGTCTGCCTACGTGCCGGCCGTTTCGTATGGCTGTGATTTGACCAAATGGCAAGATAGTTGCCTTGCACCAGGTTTGATATAACCTCGACCAAATTTAACCTCTGTAACTATATTATTTTTCAGTTGCACTTCATTGGAAGTTCTTCTGCGCTTTCGTATTGTTTTTCGGACTGTTCATATGCTTCTTCGGACATCGATTTTTTAAGTTCACTTTGTACATCATAAGTTTCTCGTTCGGTTTGCTGGTCACTTACCTGGTGATATCCATGGAGGAGCATTTTTCTTTTACCGGTGAGTTTCGGCGAGCGGTTCGTGCGGTTTTTAATTGAATTTATTTTTTAGAGAAAACCGTTACTGCTTTTACAGTGGGGTTCATATACGGCATCATTTGGCTGCTAATTTGGCGTAGATTCGGCATTCCAATCCTCACCGTTACTCTGGCTTTTATTATGTTCGGATTTTTAGTAGCGTCTTTGCTGTTTAATACGATATTAGGTTAGTTAATAAGCACAAATTTGTGATTAATGATCATTTTTTTTTCGGATATATTCCAGTCGATATCCACGTACTCACCAATCCGGTTAACTTTTGGCTGGCTTTTACCAGCACGATTCTGTTGTGTATCATTGTATCCATGGTGAATATGCTGTATGGTCATATTTCCTCCATAAGCTGCCTAGGGGCTTATGGTGCTGTGGCTTCGTTTTGCTTCTACGTTGGAGGAAATTTGCCTTACGTTTTTATTAACACCTACAGAAGGGTTGCTGTGAAGGATTTCAGCATGGCTGTGGTAGATCCTCCGATGGGCGTGATCGGTAAATTTTACGTGAAAAATTATGGTGGTTATGAGATCTTGGGAATTTTTTTTTTCAGATGCGATGCAAATTATTTTGTGGGTTTTGATGATGACCTTCGGAATTTATGTGCAGAGGCGTCACCAGATGGGTAAACCACCTTTTCCTCCGAATAGAAATGCTTCATCAGAAGATGGACCGATGAACGAGACCTCGGAAACAGCGCCGCTTTTATATCCTGATTATCCTGATTATGTACGATCTCCCAATTATTCTACTCATGGTAACTACTACATGTATTCACACACCGGATGATTAAGTTAAATAGTATCAATCCTATTGGAATTTATACTGGGGGTGTTAAAGTTTTTGTTGCATTTTCAAGAGCTTTGTATCAATAAATAATATTTTTTACTATTTTTTTTATTATTGCAAACATTTCCTTCTTCTCAATTGAACTGCAATGACTGTAGGTGTTAGAATGAAAAGATAAAATTTCTTTAAAGATTTTTTTTATTTTCCACAAATTTAACTATACACGTCTACACAGAAATATGTACTAAATCTACGGCAACGTTTCTTGGTTATTAATGTTATTATTATTAATTTAAAAATTAATCACAGCAACAAGAATATACACAACATTTATATTAATACTTTTTAATTATCACTATACACTCTACAAAAAGGAGAGAAGCGCTGAGATATCAAAATGATACAAAAGTTCGAGCTGGTATTGAAAATATAAAATTCGAACTATAAGCTCGAGATTTAATTTTGGTTTTTTTAAATTTTAGTTTAAAAATTTTAGAATTGATGATTATTTTAGGAAGTCTGTGAGAATTTTTGGTCTTTATTCGATACTAAAATTTGTTCATATTTTTATATTTCCATCCAGGTTTATAAAAAAATCAGGTCGTACACATTTATTAAATATTTTGTTCAATATGGTAAAAATAGTGACACTGAAGTTTATTGCTATCATATAAGGTAAAGGTAAGAACATTTTTATTCGAAAGCAACTTTCTTCTTTCGTAAAAAATTTGGAATTTATCTCATAATTTTCCTGTATTTGTAAGTTTTTTTTGACCAGAAAATGAGAGAGATTTTACCAAAAAATATATGCTGTAATTGGAGGTGGATTTATTGAACTTTTATCTTACCTATCGATGTAATACAAAGTGAAAAAAGTTGCTTGTTGATTGTTTCATTTAAATGATTTCAGATTTAAACTAGTTTTGCTCTTATTAACAAATTATTGCAAAATTACCAATTGCAGGTAACTTATGTAATCCGCTATGTACAACTAACACTCCTATATTTACAGAATTTGCTTAAATTTGTGTAAATTCTCAGATATCAAACAATAAATTAAATGAAATTACCTATTTAAAAGCATATTTGACTAGATAACAAAAAAAAGTTTGGCCGAAATTAAAGTCAAATTTACCTGCTAGAAAAATAAAATCCCGAATTTACAACAAATCCAGCGCCATAATAAAAAAACACACCGAATTGTGCATTATAAAAATTCTCGTCGAATTTTCCAAAAACAAACTCCCGCTTTTATATACACAAAATCACTCATCACGCAGTACCCTGCAGTCCGGCCGGGTTTTAGAATTTTAAACAAAAACATCACCCTCCCCAATCCCCAATCCAACTCCTTTTCCACGAATTCCACCCGAAAAACCGCACGGACAGAAAATGGCAGCGGCGCATCGAAACTCTAAAGTTACCTGTCGCACGGTTTCCGGGCCATCCGGCTTTCCGGATCGCCCTCCGCCTAATTCACTTAAGAGGATTCTTCAGGTGGCGTCGACGCGACCACAGGGGGCGTTAGGGTCGGTTGCAGGGCCGGGTTTTCCTGGGGCACGAGCAGGCTCGGCGGAGGAAACCCGAAAAGTTGAGATCACTGAATTCTCGGCCAGTAGCTGGACGCCAGATCGGCTGTTTGGCTGGGGATTTGTACTGGCACCGACACACCGGCTGATATCACACCTGAAAAGAATATTTTACTAATTTATTTGACGTCTAAATCGTTATTAAACACATCCATAAATGTCTCGAATTTGCTGGTTAAAAACTACTTGGCAAAAGTAGGCACCTGGTGTGAGAAAATAAACAAAAAATCGAGGGAGCAGAAAAATCCATCGCCGGCAGTTTTGCAGTTTTCCCGTTCGTTTCGCCGCCGTAAATTTCATTGTCCGTGATCAGTTTAAAGTGTCAGTCGTCGGCGGGCGAGGGTCGGGTGGTTTTCCAATTCTCGGCTCGGCGGACGCTCAATAATGTGCGAACTAAAGCGAGGGTGGGGGCGGGCGACCCCCCCCCCGGTCCCCCCTCGGCGCCGCCGTCCGCCTTGTTCCGGTTGCAAGCTTCGTTTGGTTCCTTTCTCCCCAGGGGGGGCGCCCACTTAACCTCAAACGTCTGATCTAACTTTACGAGCTCCACAAACGGAGACAATGTTTCGGGATACTCTCCTGTTAGGGAAACTTTTTTCTCACTCTCCGTGGAAGTTACGTTTTTGTTATGCACTAAAGAACTCTACTGGATAATTTAAGTACCAGGTTATGCCAATAAATTGTTATAAATTTCCAAATATCCACGCGGAAAGGAAAAGTGATTCTTCCATCGGGTATTCCGATAGAGCTCGGATATATTCTCGCAATTCCCGATCTATTTTACATGCGAAAACACCCCCGTTTCCTTCGCGTCGCGTCCAAAACAATCACTTTCCATATTTCCCGTCGGCGAAAATGTAAATCCACTTTGAAACATCAATTTTCCTCCTGACTCGGAAAACACGGGAAATCGTCGATGGAAGAATTCTACACGAAACTTAAAAGTTATAAGAGACGCCGACGAAAAAATAAAGATATCGGGAGAAAAACGATTCGTTCGCAAACGCCCTATACGATTTTCCCGATGCTGGGGGAAATTCGCTCGCATGTGAATATCAAAGGAAACCCGACGGATTGTAATTAATGTTGCATTCGATTGGTGCACACATTTTGCCATTTTTCTACATATCGTTGAGAAGTTTTATTGTTAAAAAGTTAGACAGGGTGTTTCAAAACAACATGCTTATATTTAAGGTGGTGATTATTGGACCAATTTTAAGGAGAAAACTTCATATGAACCTTTTTAAATTAACTGTGGTATACTGTTGTAGATATCTTTATTAAATTTGGCACACTTCTTTTATGAATCAAGATACATTTTCTGATGTACAAATAATTTTATTATATTATTATTACAGGACATTTGTTCATATGAAGTTTTTTCCTTAAAATGTGTTCAATATTCATCCCCTTAAATATTAGTATGTCATTAAGGAACAACTTCTATTGTTGTGGTACTTACCGGTGCCGGTTGATACAGGTACTGAAGAGGGTCCGTTGCTCCCGTACGAGGGATGATGGGTGGTGGGTTGCGCGTGCGCAACGGCCGGATTGCAGCTCCTCGAGTTGTAGGAAGAGCTCAAGGAGTGCAGGGGATCGTGGAACATGTACGGGTAGCCCGTGGCTTCTCGCTGTTGCAGACAGCTCGACGTCAAGCCGCTCTGCATCGAGCTGTAACAATTAAAACGGTGGAATTTTTTTCGTTCTCGAAATTAGTTAGAGCCACGAAAACCTCCGGTTTTCTGTACGCCAGTCTATCAAAACACGTAAAACGCGCGGCATTCCTCGGATGCCGCGGGCCCCGATTGAAATTTATGATAATCCGACAGCCCGTCATCCCTCGAAAATTCGACTGGCATTTACAAATCACCAGTAGCTGCTGTTGAGTTGCTTTTTTTCTCTTGCCGGTAAGACTGCACGAATACCCCGGGATCCCTACTGTTTTTCCATCGAGCCCAGCCCGTGAATAACTCGCTGCTAAACGCGCCACGTTGTCGCGTTTTTTTTCCCAATCAGGTGAATTGTAATTACATGCTTTATCTTGCTACTAAATGAACTTTATTGCTTTATTATTTATTACCAAATTGGTTCCAATTTACTCCATAAAAGCCCCATGAATTATTGCTCAAAAATTGCAAGTAACACCTTCTATATAACCCTACTTCATTGTCAAAAGTCAAAACTAACTGGCCTTTTATGTATCGGAAAACAAACCAACTTTACACCAAATAACAACGATACTGCACCATCGCTTAATTAAACTCGCTCAACTCAAAAGGCAAGAAAGCACAATTGAATATTCCGGGCATTTAACTTTGAGCTCGACAACGTCGCACTGGTCCATTCCGGGCCTAATCCACATGCGTCCGCCGAGGCGACGTGACCGCTACAAGCATGTCACGTCATTTAGATTCCGACGGACACCTTTGTTAGAAAAAAAAAACTAGGGAGAAATGCAGGATGATATGCGGCCCCCGGGCTCCGCATGACTGACGTCTCTTGTTCCGAGGAAAGCTCACCAATTCGTATTATACAGGGTGTCTATTTCGCCGAGTAGACTGCTACTCCGTTGATATGAAAGCGTTAATTAGCAATTAACCGCCTGCGTGTGCTTACATAATGGTCAAAGAGGTTTGAAGAGGGCTATTAGATGATTGTGGTTGTATCGAAACGCGGAACGCATTAGATCGTTTCGCACTAGACGGAGCGATTGATTCGACCGGTAATGCACATCTGCTTCAGATTTGGACTTGGAATGACTCCTTGGCTTGAATACACAAGCCCGGCCATGCGAGATCGTTAGGTGACTAAGTGGATTTCTGATTTCTGGTTCTGACTTTGGAATCCAGCAGATGCTCGTGCAATTAATGTTATGTACAGATTGGTACAAAAATGGTGGTTGGTTTTGGAAGTTGGAACATGCCACAGTCGTTTAGTTTTGACATTTCTTCAACAACAACTGTTAATTTAGCTGTGTATAACGTAGGCACTTGTAGAGTTGCAGAATTCATTTAGAATCTTTAAATAAATCAAAAACGATCAACGAATACTTAATTGATAGACCCCGTAGCTCTCTTAAGTAATGAACACTTTTCTGCAACTCTGCAGAAAACTGCAGAGAAAACTCTGCAACACTGCTTTTCTCTTAAGTTTTCTCTGTTAACCTATAGTCACTTCCAGAGTTGCAGTACTCATACATGGTCAGCGAATAAATCAAAATTAATCATTATAGAACAAATAATTTAGACCCTTGATAACTAGCACTATTCTGATGCAACTTTTAAATTTTCTCTGTTAACCTAGCCACCTCCAGAGTTGCTGAACTCATACAAGATCAGTAAATAAACCAAAATTGATCACAGAATAATTTAGACCTTTAACAACTAGCACTTTTCTGATGCAACTCTTTAAGTTTCCTCTGTTTTAACCTAGCCACCTCCAGAGTTGCTGAACTATGGATATTTGTATAAACGAATAAAAAAAAATTCATTAACGAACCTGTAAGTGTCGGCCATGGTGGCGATGGGTTGCGGTATCGAAGAATACATGGAATTGAAGCCGGAGTTGATGGGCAGACGGGGGGCCGAGGCCGGCGGGCTGACGGCGCCCACTTGATCGACGGATCGACGCTGGTTGCGTAATTTTTCTTCTCGCCTCCACTTCGCCCGTCGATTGCTGAACCAGACCTGCGAAAGAGACGAGAGGGAAAAATAAATAAAATATCGCCTCCTCGGGTGCTGTAGAATCAATTTCGCGTCAATTTGTCGCGGGATTTGGAATTAACAAAATAAAACGTGTGGTGTATCAGCGGGAAGGTGGAATTTATCGTAGGTGTTGCCATGTTTGATTGACAGTTTTAAATTGACAGTTTTACATTGTTGTTATGGAGTAACTAAGGAGATTCTTTCACTTTTGACAGTTTTGACAGTTTTACATTGTTGTTATGGAGTAACTAAGGAGATTCTTTCAATTGACAGATTTGACAGTTTTACATTGTTGTTATGTAAATAAATACCGTCCAAAAATGGTTCCTATTTTTATTATTTTTAGAATAGTGCTCGCGTAGACTCTGTTGCAGCTTAACGAATTCTGTTATATGCGATTCGATCCCGTTTTAATTCCCCCATAGCCCGGCATCGTCGAAAGTCTATTTGACTTACAATGCATATTCCTTTCTCCGACAATAAACTTCGTCCCTTTTTTCGTCCTGCCAAAGCAAACATCATCATCCATCGTCGTTCGTTGAATGGGAATATTAAATAAACGTGCTTATTAATTTGTTCTGCTTTCAACATAATGTTTAAGCACTTGATATCGTTATCGCAGGGGGCGAGACGAGACGTTTTCCCGCTGCAATATTTTATCGCTATATGTAAATAAGCATTGATGAGCGGTGATGGAAGGGGACGCGCAGCGGCGGGGTTAATTTGCGAAAAAAATAGCGATGTTCGGCGCGATTCATCATCCATTACCGGGGGCGAATGGAAAGAAAACGTTTGCGAATTTATCATTTCGTGTTGCGGAGGAAGGAAAATTGCCATTTTTCATTCCGACCGTGGACAAATGTATCTATGATAGTGCATTTTTACTGGAACAAGAAATGGGAAAGAGCCGCGATGATTTGTGGGTTTACGCTTTTAGCGACAAATTGGTCTTTTTTGATAGGAATCTAGTTGTAAATAGGTACTTTTCTTTCAGGAATAAAAAATTAATTAAAAAGTTAGTAGGTATTTCAATTTTTCAATATAAAATTACATTTAATAAAAATTAATTACATCCGAAATACACAATAACAATTCCGTAATAGAAGTTCCGATTTTCTCGAAACGTTCCATCATTTTAGAGGGTAAAGAATAGGAGATTTCCGCCGCGAAATAATAGGACTCGATGCCATACCGAAATCATTTCATCTCCAAACTGGTAGTGTTTATATCTTTGTATATAGAAAGCCTTTTTGCAGCTTTTCACCAAATGAAAACCGTTTTCCGTAATTTAGATGGAAAGAGCCGGGCGTTTTCAGTTCTATGCCGTTCCATTCATTCATTTTCCTTTACTTATACAAATTGCTACATTTTTAAAGGCCGCATTCATGATAATGGTCTCATTAAGTAAAAATAAAAATGTAAAATGTGCCTCTACGTATTTTGTATCGTAATATGAAGAGCCTTTTTCACTGCACATTCCTACATTCAGTTAATGACACCACATATGTATGTAAATATATTTTTTTTGTTAATTATGAATTATTATTTGGTAAAAAAAAGTAAAAAGTGTTTTTTTGTATGTCCAACGTTTTGTTAACGTTGGATTAAAATTTAGGTAGGTTCGGTGTTTTTATAAAGCGAAATTAAAATGTGTAATTAATTATAAACAGTTAATTAGTTTCAACAAAAACAGCAAAAAATACACTTTTTTTAGCTACATTAATCTACATTCTGAACGCGCGGCTTTTTTTTTGTTAACTCTTCTGCTTCGATACGTACCGTTCCAACGGGGATTACGCATCAGCGTTTTTTCCGCGTTTTTTCCGTTATTTTATACAAAAAATTCGGCAAATGTTGATTTAGAGAACGATGAATTTATTTATTACAAAACGCGGAAATTCGAAACTCGATTTTCGACAACAAATTTTCCACCGCGCAAAAATAACAGAAAAATTTTCTCGTTTCGGTTCTTTTGCTATTGATTTTGAAAAAAATTGTTACCTGGATACGTGCCTCAGGTAATCCAATTTTCTCCGCCAGCCTCTCCCTCGCAAACACGTCCGGGTAATGAGTACGTTCAAATTCTGAAAATAAAAAAAAAACATAACTACTTTATGTACAATCAATTAACCCAAACATAACAAACCTAGAATACACAATTTACTGTTAAAGAAAATGAAACTATCAGAGGTTGGTAATTCAGAACTAATTCAGGACTATTTATTACGGTTCAGGATAAAGTAAAATAATTCAGAACTAATTCAGAACTATTTGAGTTGGTTCAGGGTTAACTAGAAAAGTACAACTATTCAGAATGCTTTCATTGCAGGACTATTTTAGAAGACTCTTTAGAATATTTTTCAACTGAAAAATCAACAAATAAAGATTTAAAAACATTTAAATATGTTTTTAAATCTCTGCAAACCGACACGGTATAAAAAACTTTATGAAAACTCATTAATTATGACATATTAATATAAAACTTTCATAAATGCAACTTTTTTAACATCCACTAGTAGCTAAGTATTCAAAAGAAACATCCACAATTTCCTACTTCTTAATAACTCGAAATCCTTAGCAGAGAAACTAAATCATATTCATTCGAACCCAAAACTCCATTAAGTTTAATTAACATCGCCCGAAGATCAACTCACCCTTTTCTAAATTATCGATTTGTTCGTTGGTGAAGGATGTTCGGTTCCTCTGGAGTTTCCTTTTCAGTCTCAACCTCAGCTGCGAATCCTCGTCGCCAGAAGAGTTGTGCTCGGAGTTCCCATCCGACGTGTTCTCGTGCATCACGTCAGCTGAAACAACGGAAATTTTCAGGTTTCGAGATTGACGAGAATCACTTAAATGCTAATTAATTTCGCAGCGCAATTAGCATTCATTAACTGCATACATACGCTCCGAGAATCGATTGGAATAGGTGCAGGAGAGGCTTGCAAATGGGATATTATAAAATGTATTATGTTTTTCGTTCGATTTGGTGCTGTGGAGGTTTTCCTTCTATCTGCCGTTGTCGGGTATTTTCGGGAAATTTACCGCTAACACAATTACTAGTTCGGATCGGGCAACGCGGGCCCGCTGGAACGGAAGTTATGTTCATTTCCAAATGCCCTTACGACAGTCTGAATTATTTCAGTCGACTTCAGCGCATTTTTCCGAATTTTCACTCCGACTTGCTGAAGTTTGAACAGTTTGCGGTCGACGATGAAAAGTCGATTTTTATGTACCTACTTCTATTTTCATGCTTCATTTATCCTTTATGTATTTTTACGCGTTATTCTTTAACCTATACGTTAAATAACGTAACGAAATTTTAAGTAAGAAGTACAGGACAGTTCTAAGAGATTTATATGGTACTGTTCGAAGCTACTTAGAACTATCCAGTAGAATCATTTTAGAATTAAGGTGGACCTTCTGGAACGGTCCAAGATGAGTTCAGAATCATTTCAGGAAAAATTAAAACATTATTTAAAACCATTTTCTACTAAAAACCGATTAATTTAGATGAAATTTTAAAAATTTACTACTCAATTTGAAACAGAGTGCAGGACGATATTAAGACCATTTAGAACTGCCCAAAGAACTACTTGGAACTGTCAAGAATATAAAATAGACAAGTCCTATAGAAGGCATTTTAGAACTTTTAGAGGGCTATTTAGAATTTTTGAATAGAAAAATAGAGTGAATTGAGATAAAACGTTTTCTTTTGGTATAAAATGATGGACGATAAGAAGGAAACCGTAATGGCGGACGTCCCGGTCGGTATAGAAACGTCGGGAAACCGGGAAATAAGTATAAATCAGGTGAAATGGGATCAGAAGAGCACAATATTCAATTTCGATATAGCGCCGACGATAATTCGTTTACGCGAGACGATCTCGGGCACCGGCAAAAAAATTGTAAAAAAATCCAAAATTATGTAAATTCCCGAATGGAGATTCGTCGGCAGAAAACATAAACAAGGTCGATGGGGAAACGGGGGGGGGCGCGCGCGGCGGGGCGCGGAAGGGAATAGGATCAGAAGATGAAATAAAACAAGGAGAATGAAATAGCGAGGGTGGATATGAAATGGGGTGGAGTTTACAGAAGCGGAAGTAAATAGGGACGCGCACAACAGGGTGGGAAATCTACGGGAACGTTAACTTTGGGCTGGTGTCGGCTGCCAGCCTTTTTGGAGTTTCTCTCCCACATCCGTACCACACATATTCTCCGGATGCCTCCTCCCCCCATTCTGCACGCCGTTCCGAATTGCCGTCTTCTTTTTACCCGGGATTTCTATCCCGTTCAGACGTGAGACGAACCTATAACGCGTTATCGGCTTTATTGCTCTTTTATCTAATCAACCCTTCTACACCGCTACAACCTTTTCATTTAATTTTATTTCTTATTTCATATAATACAACCTATTCCTATATACCTACTTTTTATTTATAAATAATTATAAGAAAAGCTCCAAAACACATTCAGTTTATTACTGTATATATACTTCTACAAAATAACGTATATGAAATAATAATGCATAAAAATGTATAAAATTTTCGCATGGAGGCGATTTGCATTTTGTGATATAATTAAAAGTGAACAGCATATATGCGATGTATAACGATGGAATCAATAATAACTTTTAAATCATACGCAGTAACGTCGCGTTGGGCGACTAATTAAGTTTGAAATTCATTAAAATTGTTCATAAACAATCAGTTTTTGGTTTTGATTAAACGTCATTTGCCGCGGACATATAGCGGCACTGTTGGGATTTTTTAATAAATTCCGCAGTCGCGAATATTGCGAATTCAATATTGTTGTAGGTACGTGAAATTTCGCTAATTTACAAAACTGAATAAACTGATTTCATAAAACTCGTTAATGCAAATACTATAACGGATATGTAATTGTTAGTTTGATTTAATTTGGGTTTGTTAACAATTTTTTTTATTAGATTGTTAACTTTAATCATGTTTATTATGTTTGTATGCATTCAGTAGGTTTTAATTAAAATTGTGCGTTATTAAAAGCAAATAAAATTATAAAGATACCATTTTACAACATTTTTAGTCTGTATTCTCCGCACGGAGTTCGATAAGAAAACTTTCTTTTCAACGAAAACTTCTTATATAAAACTTTTTCTTCCCCAAAAATTCCTCAATAGTGATGGTTAAATAAATGCAAATACATAAAAACTTTCTCAATAGAAAAAAAGTAGCACATACAGGGTGTTAATTAATTGAGTGCCGATACTTCAGGATGCGAATATTTGGTTGATTTTAAGCAGAAAAGTTTATATCAATATATGTCCTAAACCTTTTAGTTTTTGAGCCACAAGATGTTATGGGTGTTAGAATTTTAGAAAAAAAAATAACATCTCTATCATAATTTTTTATTACTCTTGATATTTTCATGAAATTTTAGACGTGGAGGTCACTGGTAATAGTAGAAAATTAATTTTTGTCCCCAAAAAAAGAGTTTCCATGCATGGAAACGCGCCTACCAAATTTCAACAAAACATCAAAAGCAGTCTCAAAATAAACTTGGGAATTAATTAACACCCTGTTACAATGAAAATTTAAGTAGGTACTTAAATGTGGCTTTAAAACACAATTCCAATAGTGCCATGGTAAAAAAAACATACAATAAATTACATACAAAATTCATACCTCTTTTTTGGAGATCATCCCTGGATATTTGACTAGTAAGAGCGGCGGGCGCCGGCGGGAGGCCGAGCGGCGGTGCCGTGGGTGTTCCGGGATACCATGCCCAACCGGGAGTTTGCCCGTTGAACATCCTCAATTTATCATAAACGGACTCGTTCTGAGCGGACGCTTGTTGTTCCTTCTGCGACGCCAAATTTCTGAGCACCCGATTTATGGACGACACCTACGAATAAATTACGGCCCTCTTTTACTAAAATACGGTCTGTTCGATTCGGAAAATTGAGATAAACCGACCAAGATTCGTTACGCCATATGGAACTGTTGTTTATTGCTTCGTGAAATTGTTTGTATAAAATATACCGGGTCAAAATTTTCTGGACATGATTTTGGATAGTTCTAAAAATTCTAAGACTCTGTATATGATCCCAAAAAAATGCTATAATTCCCCAAATCGTTAAATTCAACATTTCCAATTGCTACTGTTACATTTTCAACACCTACATTTAAATAAATTCCTCTCTAAATTACATTATATAAGAAGAAATTCCGCGAAAACTATATATATTTTAACGTCATTCAGACCGTCCCACGAATCAGTCGTGCTCATTACGCTAATGCAAAACATGACGTACGGAAATCGTAATTGAATTCCTCGGTATATGGAATTGTTCAATTTGTAAAACCACAGTGATTTTCCGATTTTCTTTTCGGTAGACCGGCCGCCGAGCGCTCCGCGCCCGGAACACAATGCCCGTCTTGATGATAATCACGGCTTTCGGGCGGATTTTAAATTGGGTGAGAATTAAAAGCGGTGGGCGATTTAAATTCGATTTCGATTCATAAAGTTGCGCGTAAGATTTGCATTCGAAAAGCCGCCGTTCTCCGGCCGGGTGGCTTTCGCGGTTGATTGGCCCCGGGGGGATAGGAAATATTACGAAATAAATCGGATGTGTTAACAACCAAGAAAATTGCGGTTTTATTCGACCATATTTATCGGCATAGTCTTAGGAGAAGCCTGAAGAGGGTTTCATTATTAAACAGAAACGTTTGTTTGTAGATTTTGTGATGTTTCTTAAGATAGGTAACTCACAAGAAAATTGAGGTATGATTTGAATGCTTAAGAAAAAAATCTAAAGATGAAATAAAAAAAACAGAAACATGGTTAAGTAGATTCAGTAAAATGTGGTTTTTTACTACCTAATCTTCACCAAATAATAAACTCTCCTCCGCCAAAATCTCAAAAACCCGATCCAATACTAACAACAACTCCATTAATTTTATACCGCCAATTTCCCAACATCATTTACATAATCAGCCGCTCGATTTTTATCGAAAATCCCGTTTACGTTTCGGATAAAATTGCATTTCTAAACGAAATAAAAGAGGAATCAACCATATGCCTAATTAAAATGATCCAATTCTGGTCCTGTCTCTCCCTCGCCTCTATCCAATACCTCAGATCATTTCACATATGACCGCATTCGAATGGCGAAACATGCTTTGGTGATTTCGATGAAAAAAAAATCTACCCCTCGCGCCCTCTGCTGCTCCACCAGTCGTTGTTCTTTCCTTCTGTTTGGTTGTTTTCATTGGCGTAACAACCGCTGGGATTCTATCCTGATAAATCCTTCAATCCAGTTTCACTTCTTTTTCTATTTAATACACTTTACATCATCAAATATGAAGCTTTTTTTTGCTTACTACACTTGGAAAAAGTTTTATCCCTGTGTTCTAATACAGCAACGATACTTTTCACATTTTTCCCATATCAAACTTTAAGTATTTTTAAACTTACTACATCAAGAAAAGGTTTGTTGAAAGCTTTATTCTTCTATTATCCTTGTGTAATTGTAACTAAACATTTCATAAAAGGAATGATATCTCTACACTGTACCGACGCTGGTGAGTCTGTTATCAATCGAGATAGATTCGAACCGGGGGGGGCGAAAACCGTTCCTGCAAAAGCGGTTCCTGCGAATCAGATATTATCGCATTTTTCCGTCAGGAGCAGGCCGGTGACTTGGTGACATGCGGCTGGCGGTGCCAACAACAATACAAATATGCATTTCCATTAATTCGATTAGCGTAATTGGCGGGCCGGTCGGGCACGGTGGGCCCGAAGAGGACTAATCGAAAAAGGGTTGAAAGGGATTCGATCGGAGAAAATTTAAATGCTAAAACGGATTTGCATACATTCTGTACGGTTTACCGGGCTTTTTTTTACACTAGATTTAATTAGCTGAATCGAGGCGTTTGTCACTAGGTGATTCGATTGGTTATTAGAGCAAAAATTACTATTTTTCGACCCTTATTTTGCGGTAGTTTGACCACGGAGCGCGAGGTCCCAAAAAATCAATCATGCGCGCTCCGCGCTCATATTGTGATTATGATGTTGGAAGCGAATGCGGGAGAAAATTTAAATATTTGAAAGCCTAATGGTTTTCAATAGAGTGGTAATTCTACATCGCCTGTTAGCGGTTAACCGGCAGTTTAGTCAGCTAAATAGGGGTGGCGAAAATTATAGCAATGGATTTTTTCCTCATTAACAAACACCAAAATTCACACCAAATGATAATAATTATTCGACGAATAATAGGATTTATACCTCTAATTTTTGGCGCTAGATATTTCAATTTAACGAATTCAAATTGGCTGCTACCTGGGACCCCCGGCCCTGCGTTTGATCAAATCCCAGATACCTGTGAGTTTCTGTGCAAACAAAAGCTACTTCTTGTCACTAATAGAGTTTGTGAAGCGGTGACATGCGACATGTTAGACAAACACAGGCCTCGGGATACGTAGCCAGATCTTGAGCAAATCAAGACCCTTGCTTTAACAGTATTTACTCTGCCTACTAAGGATGTCATATACTGATACAAAATTAAACAGGATACGGATTCGCCAGTGCGGCAATTTCGGGGTCGCTTCTTTATTATACGCTAATTTAGATGAAATTTGGACGGAGGCGCTATTGATAGTTTATTTTTTTTGGTAGAAAATTGCCCCGAAGGCTGAAGTGTGGCGATGTTTGATACAACAAAAAAATAACAATGGGGTACCTACAGCCGGTCGATGTTTAGATTTCGAGTTAATTTGACAAATTTATTACTAAGTTGGTCGATTTTTTAAACGAATAAATAGTGGATTGGAATGGTTCTGGACGTTTTTAGTTTCTAGATAGTTCTGAATGATTCTAAGATCGTACTGAACTCATTCAAAGGATCACAAACAGTTCTCAATAATTTCTCAGTAATTTTAAAAGTGTTCTGAACATTTTTAAAACAAGAGCTAATTCACTTACACGCTCAGCGAAATCACAATGATTAGATAAACTTTCCATATTTAGGTTTATGTTGATAGAAGAAACAAGAAGGTTCTTTGTTATAACATGGCCTTTTATTAAGTAGTTATTTGGTTATACTAACACCTACAGTAAAATGAAAAAAAATACAACAACAAGTTGATGTAGGAAACGAGATAACAGCCGGAATGTAATGAAATTAAGAAGTAAAACCGTCGAGAGGGCCGAGCCGAAGAGGAGCGAATAAATTTGTGGGAAACTTGCATATAGGGAACAATGCGTGTGCCAGATGCAATTCGGTGCAACTCACGCACGGCTAACACCCCGCATACATCGCCTCTAACTGGCTTATCCCTATCCCTGGGACGCTATTATGCCTTATTCTTCGGGTGTATCCGAGTGGAAGTGAGACACCTCGTCAACGAACGTCAACGACACGCATTTGCCGTCGACGGTTTTCCAAACGTTCCTTTTTTTTTATCGCCCTTATCGCATTAGATTCTAATGAGAGTCGCCGAGATATCGATGTGCTGATTGTCTCGGGAAAAATAGGAAAAACGGCTTATAATTCATAGTTTTTGTGTTACAAAAAAATGACCCAGGTGAACACGACTAATAATAATTCCTATCGAAATATGTAAGCATTGTCCGATGAGAGGACCCCTCTCGAGTGCGTGTGCATAAAAACCCCAGGTTAGTGTAAATCCGAACACATGTTTCATCAAATATTTCTTTACAAATTGGCCGGGCTATCTACCTCTCTACATATTCGGCCGAAAAGAAGCGAAAACATAAATTACGAAGAAAAAAGTCCGTTCGAGTCCCCTACAAATCGGTTCCTTTGAACGGGAATCAATGCAATTTCACGTACAAAAGTGTTCTTAACAGAAAAACTCGAGGACGTACATAAATCTCTTTAGCAGCGTCGACAACAACATTTGTCGCAATATATTCCGAAAATGGTCTATTATAGTTTTGAGTATCATTTTGATAAATTCCATCGGGATTTCAATAGAAACGTTACGCCATTGTATGGTTACCTCGTTGCTACCTGAAAGCAGGGGTGGATCTGGAACCGCCGGCGGGTAGTCACAGAAAAAGATATATAACTTTATTTCGCGACGAACAAAAAGATTCGATTGGGATTCGGCTAAAAAGGGGTTAAAAGCCAAAACACATTCGCACAATGGATCACACAACACCTGGGATTCGAATCCAATTTATACTATTAGATATGCTAAATTTTGATCCCTTAAGTAACTCAATTAACAATTTCGATTAAAAGATTAACTTTCTGGGTATCCTTCGTATAATATATCGTAGTCTTAAAAGCAACTAGAGGGTGAGGGAATATCGATGAAACTGTTATAGTGTATGGTGTATAGTATAGAAATGATAGGTCAAACAATTCGTGTGCAATCGAATGTGAAGAGGAAATGCCAATGTAAGGAGGAAAATGCCTGTAAATGGGGACGTTTTGTCGCTACCAAAATCACCAGTCGAGCCATTCGATATCGAACCGTTCCCAGACATCATCTCGATGATGCCGAAACAGAAACTAACTTTAGTTTATGGCGTTTTAGACTCCAATTTTTCCCGTAAATCTCACGGTTTATTTCCCCTAATTGAAAATCACAACAAAACCAAATTAGATATTCGAGCAAGTTGCGAATTTCGACTTTCATATCGCGACGTACAAAGGCTTAATACTTATTTATAAATTTCGCCAGTTAAGCTCATTAAAACTTGAAATTCGCAAACTCGATTTTCAAGCAGACTCGTAATTAAAAGTGATTTAATTCGAATTTTCCACGGACCGCCATCAATTGTCTGTTACATAATCCCCGAAGCCCCGGAACGTGTGCTATTAATTTCACGGCGCTTGCGTAAAATTTCCATCGATAACAAAATGCGATACGCACTGCGTGGAAATTCCTTTTCTGCCTACCTTTAAGGGAAAAGGACAACGCGACCGCCCGATTGGAGGAATCCACACCGTCTGCGATTAAAACGTCGACTAATAATCGATTTTCGAATCGAAATTATCCCATTATGAAAACTCGCATCGGATTTCTGGGGACCGGCCGTACAAAAACTGTATCGAATTCCCCCGTTCTCTTCTAAAGTTCGACGCTAATCCTTCGCAGAATGGAATGATGAAGCATTACATCGTTCCCCATTCACCGTGCCTCCGTTGTGTTGTGTGCATTAAATTGTTTTCAGTAACGAAATCTAGTAATCGCTACTATTTCGGGGGTACTTGAGGGTTTTCGGTGCGTGAGGAAGACTCTCGCGTTCGATGGGGTAGTCCCTGATGCATGTACATATACGGGGCGCAAAACGAATTAATTTATTATGTGTTTTGCAATAATAGATACTTATTATTTGGTTTTGTTAAGGTCATTCTTGTAAATGAGTAGGAATTTTGGAGGTTAATGTTTTTGAGACACACTGTATATTCCACACTTTTAATTTAAAAATATTATAAGAAGAACTCTTCAAGAACAAATTAGAACTGCCTAGAACCGTTTAGAACCATTTTAGAACTGATTAGGATCGTTTCAAACACTTCAAGGCGATCTTAGAACCATCAAGAACTGTTCAAAATCGTTTAGAACAGGTTCAATAATAATTTAAAACCCTTTCAAGATTATTAAGAACTTCTTATGAAGCTTTTTACAATCACACATAGTGTAGCAAAGAAAGTTTTAATTAAATTACGAAACAATGATTGTTATTTAGTCCGGGAAAACTACTATTAAATAGTTGCGGAAGTATTTCAGTCTCCAATGGTGAACATTTTCGATTCCTAAATAAGCAAAATGCAACATCTTAAAGTCCGATATAATAATTATTAATTATAACAAGAGAAACTATATAGTGCATCCTCATCAATCCATACTTAGCTCTTCAAACATTCTCAGATAAAGCCACTTTCCCTCGACCGGATTTGTTTAACTTCGAAAGCAAACAGCATAATATATGTATAGCAAGAGGAAGAGCGGTCGATTACAGTCGAACTTCAATTTCAACATTAATTCCGAATTCGTCTGGAACCATACATGAATAAATGAGCGAGTACAATTGGACTAGTAACGAATCTATAAAAACTACACCACGAAACTTGGAATTGTACATTTTCTACAGCAAAAACCACCGGGTAAATACAAAAGCAGTGCGTAAATATTTTTGCAGCAGCGATGCCCAAATATTTATGCAAAAATGAAAACTTTTCGGCGGTGAGTCCGGAGAGTTCCAGCCCCGGTTGTAGCGCAAATAGGTTGTCGAAGCTGCGTGCAAAAATATTTATACAAAATAAAATTACGGCGGCCAAGGCAAGGGGAAAATTGGCGTATGGTTATTTCGGGGATGCCGTCGCCATGGCGACCGGGAAACCGGAGGGTGCGGGCCCCGCCGTTCAAAGGAATGCGAGGATTACAAAAATGGAAACAGATTAAGGAAAATGGTGGATGCCGGCTGGTACAATGGGAAACGCGCGCGAATACGGCAAGTGAGATAATTCCGAGAAAAGAAATTACCAACTCCCCGAGCGCCTGATGCTGGGCCCACCTGATTTTTCTTCCGGTATATAACTTAATAACGGAAACACGGGGAATTGGAATTTATGATTGCTGCGCCGTATCGACGAAAAAATTCAATTAAACCAACCTTTCCAACGGAGCAAATAAAATAAGTAATTACAAGTGATATACTGGATAACTATAATTTTCCGAAATTATACAGGATGTTTCTGATATAAGTTGTCAAACTTTGGGAGCAAGTAGAGAACCACAAAATGACAAAAACTTAAATGTCATTTTATCGAATCTGGCATTTCAAGGAGTCTATTCCAAGAGTCTATTTCAAGAATGTATTTCAAGGGCCTATTTTAAGAGTCTATTTCAAGAGTCTAGTTTGAAAGTATTTCAAAAGTCTATTTCAAAAGAGTCTATTTCAAGAATGTATTTCAAGAGCCTATTTCAAGAGTCTAATTTGAAAGTATTTCAAAATTCTATTTCAAGAGTCTAATTTGAAAGTGCTTCAAAAGTCTATTTCAAGAGTCTATTTCAACAGTCTACTGTCGAGAATTTATGTCAGAAATCTATTTCAAGAGTCTATTTCAACAGTCTACTGTCGAGAATTTGAGAATTTATGTCAGAAATCTATTCCAAGAGTCTATTTCCAAAGTCTACTGTCGAGAATTTATGTCAGAAATCTATTTCAACAGTCTAACGAACTACTCTAAATTACACATAGTAAAAGCACACTAATACACATTAAATTAACAAATTACACTCGTTAAAAGTACGTTTTTTAATAAGAAAATGGCGGAATTCCGGTCCGCCATTGGACAGATGGGCCCCGTTTGTTTTTTACCGAAAATAAAGGCGGGATGTTCCGACGTACGGTGAAGATGTAATACATTATGCGAGTCTCTGGGGGCCGTGGGGCCAGGTGGTATCGACTAAGTAGCCGTTTTGGGTTGCGCAAAATACACGGAGGGGTGAAGTTGTTAAATTCTATTAGCCCAGAGGGGGAGACTCATCCATATTCTATTCTTTTGTCAAGTGGTGTTTACTCTTCGGGTTTCTGATTGTGGGTTATGAATGTTTTTAATATTTTAAAGCGACAATGGTAAAAAGGGGGTTAATAACAATTCGGTTAGATGATGGGAGATTGAAATAAACGGTATAGATAGATCCAGTGCGGTTGCTGTTTGGTTGGATCCTGTTTCTGATTTGTGGGGATATAAACTCTTCACTTATTTAACAATTAAACCACCAGTTCCACGTATTAATTCTTAACCTACATGTATATAAAATGATATAAATAAATAAATAAAAAAAGTCATACTCACGCTAGGTATGTTGTCGTTATTGCACACGCCCTCCGACAGCAACCTATCCCTAATTTCCCAAGCGAATATGGAAGGGCACTCCCTTTTGAACTCGGCTATCTTGTTGACCACCGGCGCCGTGGCGACTCGAGGTTTCGACCCACCTATCGCCCTAGGTTTGATCGAACCCGTTTCGTAATACCTACCGAAGAAACTAACATCAGCCAACAATACAACCAAACAATTCTTACCGAAATATTACCTGCAAACAAAACGAAAACAATGACTAGTGTTGCGCGGCTCGCGCGCTTTTGGCTTACTAACCTGCCGAGTATCTTCGACACGCACCCGTTGGAGACCTGCAGGATCCTGGAGATGTCGCAGGGCCGGGCGCCCGAATGGGCCAGCTCCACGATCTTCTGTCTCGTGGAATCAGGCAGAGGCCTGCCGTTGACGTAAACGCCACCTAGCTGATTGATGCCGCTATGGCCAGCTGTGGAACATCCAAACAATGTATTTTGGCCCATTGCATGGTGCATGAGGTCCTCTTCTGAAAAGAGGTACGTGTAAGAAAGTGTTCTCGTGCTCGATTCTCTCGATTCGTTTTATTATCGGTGTAAATTTCAAGTGGCCCTATAACGAACCCGTTCGGACGTTTGTTCTTTTGAGTGGCTCGCCATCAGCTTCACCCCCGTAATAATCACACGACGATGCAAAATAACCCTCGCCCCGTTCGATCGCGTGTGCACGCTGCGGCCTTTAATCAAGCTGCAATTAAACAACTTTTTCTCGATTCTCGGCTCCCCCGCTCGGTAATGAACCAGTTAATATACACACCAGCGCTCCTTTCTTCCCGAACCGCGTGTGGTTTTTTTAAAGATCGCAAATTGCTGGATTTCGAGCATCCACCGCTTCCAGCCCTAATTGTATTTTGTTCGATTTTAATTGTAATACGGGCGCACGGCATTGTCGAGTAATCGCCGATGTACTATTCAAAGTCCACTTCGCAATTGAACAATATAAGTTCGATTACACCCCTTCGTTTATTATATTAACAAGTTGTTCTTTTGTTAGGAAAAAAATGCGCTAAATTTGAAATTTAGATACGCGATAATCGTGTAATGAATTGAACTAGTCAACGCAATTACCGTAAAAGGAATAAATCCTGTGGAGTTTTAAACCGTCCATGGGAATTTATTTAATTCCGGAGTCGCCCTTATCCGTCCACATATAATCGCTAATCCACCTTCTGCGAATTCAAAGTGGATAAATCACGCTCGGAAAAGCACGAAATAGGACGAAGATTAAATCCTATCTTGAAAATGGCGTTCGCGCTTGTACGCACCGAAGACAAGTTTCGGGTGTTAATCTTTTCATACATTAAAGCCTCAAAATTTATCTGCAGACGTGCCTCGTTTTATTCGTGTTAGACGAGCAAGAGGTAATAGTTTTATGCGAATTCCCCAGCGCACAATGAGGAGCGAATTATTAAATTATTTTTTTCGAAGCCGGATCGTTTAAAATTCAGCGATTTGTAACACGATATTTTATTCCTAATTTGCAAGTTATTTATTATCGCTTTATAAAAATTGAGTGTTTGTGAGTGAGCATAATGAAAGCTACAAGAAAATGTGTTTGTGGTTTCCTAATTAAACGCTTGGTTAGGAACCCGTGAAATTTACGATAAGATGCAAGATAAGATAACAACATGCACTTTTTCTTTGTTTATAAGGTTCTTTTATTATAATACTACATCTGTGTTACATTAATTTTTATTCCAATGTGTATTAGATGCATTGCAATTTTAATAATTGTTCAGGACACATCAGAATGGTTCAAAACAACTTAGAACTGTCTAGAATCATGTAGAATTAATTTAGTAGTAGCTCTGATCATTTGACACAGTTCATCAGGTTCCATTAAAATTTCAAAATAATTGTAAAAATCTTGTAATTTAAATGTGTTTTTTTTATGTCCATATGTCCCCTTGGGCCTACCCGGTATAGGTCCATACACTCGAAAATTCTGAAGGGCCTTCTTCCTTTAAAATCGAAAACAGGAAATAAAAAGTACCCATAATTGACGATAATCCGTACCTTTAGCGATTGTAACATCCATCATTCGAAACGGTTTCCGAGAAACTTCGAACCGATAGATATAATTCGATTCGTCCGGACTAATCTGAGAGGCATTGTGCGCCAAATTGGGATAATATGGTGCATCAAATAGAGGCATATATACGCAGTGAATAGTTGCAAAGCAACTTACCAACTTCGAAATCCCTCGACCGCCCCCCGAATTACGTTCCGCACGGAGATATTCTACCTCAGACTCCCATTCACTAATGTATTATCGCTATTATCAGATTATAACGCACTTAAATGCTCCTGCTTTCCGGGCCCGCTCTTCAATCCTCTTAGCCTTTCAATGGTGCCTGTCGCGTTATTTACCACCAATTTGATGGTATTTGAATCGACTTCACGGGGTTAGTATTACCCGTAATTACAACGCAAAAAATATTCGCTGTTTTAACACCGCTAAAAAATTCAATCCCAATCCCAATCGTCTCCGATTCCTTCGCTAAAACTTCGATTCCATCCCGACAAACTAAAATTAATTCGCCTTCCCCGGGCTCCCCGGGCTCCGGCTCGCGAAAATGGCGTCTCTTTGTTGACTCGGTAACCCGTAGTTCGCGACACTCCGCGTTTAAATTGCATTAACCTTAACATTACATGCCGAATTGAGGATGTACCGAGACGTGAAAGAGCCGGGGACGGCGCCGAAGACGCCGAAAAGGAGAGAGGCGGAGAGGCGGACGCTCCGGGACAACGGGATTAATTAGCGAAAAGAAGACGCTGAGAGACGGAGAAGAACCCGAAAAAAAATATATACGGCTCTATCGTCGACGATTAGGTTAGTGGACGGAGGTTCTCTGTACTCGTTTTATTCGTTTTTCGGACAAAAACACGCGCGTTTATACGTTTGTTTTGCGCTAGTTTTATCGACTCGATTGTATTATATAGCGGAGGCAAAAAATTTAAGAGATCTGGCCAAGTTTTATCGTAATACTTGATGTACCAAAATAAACTAATCTTGACTCGATTACTCCAACAACCTCTTTTTTCTAAACGTTTATATGTACATATACCGGGTGCCTCAAGTCTCATATTAGAAGGAAACGGTGTATTAAAAATATTTCTCGTATAAAATATATTTCGTAGCTGTCCCTGTGATCAAAATAGGGATGAAGGAAGGCGATCAGAAGAGAGAGCGCCGTAATAAGAGCGCGTTAGTCTTCCGGGCTCCGCAGTTCGTGTACTCAGACTCTTGGGGGGATTAAGGAGTTGAGGTTTCGGAATTGGTTTTGATTTTGGAGGTTTATTGTACGCGCGGATTTTCGCCTGCTCGTTTATATAAACGAAAGAGGATTCGTCGCTCTTATGTCTTGTTGGGATTTTTCGCCGACCCGGCGGAAAAGCGATAGAGGGATCCAAGGACGCGTTTCCTCGATATTATTATATTTTAATTAATAGCGGTCGCTTTTTTACCTTTGTGAGGCATTTTCCACAGGGCTTCGGCGCAGGACGATTCCCTCAACGAAAGCGTTTTTGCAGCGGAAATGACTGGAGAAAACCCGCCCGGAGTCGGGACGGGTCCGGATGTGGCTCCCAGGTTGATCTCTTGGGGTTACCTGAAAAAATGTAAGGAAAATTCAAATTTAATGTTAGATTCTCAGAGAAAATAGAGTATAGAGAAACCATTATTAATAAACAGCTGTTTTCAGGAACCCTTCGAAGAGAATAAACCAATTTGTCATACTCAAACGTCGGGTTCATTAACAACTCTCTAACTGTTTACAGCACGGGAGATAAAGATCTACTCAATAAAAAAAAAACGAGCGGCTATAAACACACACACCTATAGAGAAAGGTTGTTAAAAAAAGCTAAAAAAAATCGCTTTTCCCTGCCACCTAAGGTCGCAAGAAGCTCATTTTGAATTCGTAAACCATAAGAAAAACAAACGGGCTCGATAAATCATCGACATCGGAGTCAATTGTAGTCAAAATATTCACTTATCAAAAGAGTGTAAAGGTGAATATATCTTATTCAACGTTTGTCCTATGCGATTCTTCGCATTGTTAAGACCATGTTGTAAAGGTGCCGGAGGGTAAAATCAGGACCGCATTGTAGAATTTACAATCCATTAATATTTCTTTCACTATTTATTGTGTTGAAAATTATTTGTTATGGACAGTTACTACCTAACATGATCAATTTGTTCAATAACTTGATGTAATATTTCGTATTCTATATGCTCTAAATGGTTCTGAATTATTCTAGTTTATCCCAAGAGAGTCCTAAATCTATTCAAAATGATTTAAATCGTCCTAAACTGTTTTAAATAGTCTTAATCAGTTCTATATGACTAAAGACAAGGTATTAGTACAAGTATTGTTTTTTATAAGTAGATATTTTTTCAACGAATTCTTCACAAATTAATCTGCTCCAGTAACTACCTAATTTTGATTAGTACAAACTTTTTATGCAAATATAATTAGAAACAATACCAATCAATTTCCAGGCTCATTTGCCTAACTTTCTATACACCCAATCCGGTTTCTCGAACAATTACAAGTCGATCGAAGGCGATTCGATGAACAACGGAATCAATTAGAGATCGATAGATATCGGGAGTACAATCGCGGGGTTCCCGCAGTCCAGCACTGGGCCCCGGCAGCATCCGTGATATATGAACATGAGTAGCGAGAGATCTATGACGAGGATAATTCTTTGTTCGCGACGGGTGGCCGGTAACCACCGTAAACTAAATGAAGACAAATTTCGGACGCTCCGCTTTTTGGTCCTTTTGTTAGACCGCTGATTGCCGGTGACCGGCCGCGGATATCTGAATTAAAAACGAAAACTCGAGAACAATGTCGTTTGTTTCGTTTCGCCAGTTTATCGGCATCGGGTATCTTGTACTAGTCGTGACGATTCGTATGGGAATATCTATGGCTGTTCGATTCGATCAACGGTGCTTTTTTTTTGTCACGATGTCGCAAGTCTATAAACTCCGAGCGTTTCATATACATATAATATATAATATACAAATTGTGTGGTTATTGCGTTTTTTTCGCCTCCGTTTTGCCTCGTTTCGAAGTCGAAAAATGCCTGTATAACGCAGTTAGAGCCGGGTACTTTTTCTGTAGACACACACTCAATTAAAAAAGCATGTTACATTTAAAAACAGTTTGGCCGGCTCGCAGTTAATGATGTACATTCATATAATTGTGGAGCTTAAAAGGAGATCAAAAGGATTTTTTTCGCCGGCGTTCGAAAACGAGTGTACGCGAGCAAAGTGTAACTGCACTCGAATAAATACATAGAGAAGGGAAAACGTAGGATACAGTTGGGTTATATGTATATAGCAGTTTCGGAGTCTGGATTTATAAAGGATTGCTTTTATGCGAAACTTTTAAAGGCTTTACGCTTCTGCTATAAAATTGTAACGACTTTTGCGTTCGGAATTTATCGTGAAAACTCAAAAGCACAAACAGGTACACTCCGGCATCGCGAAAGCCCCCGAACTCCGGAAAACTGCTTTTGAAAAGCACGCTGAAAAGTTGATGCTTTTTGTAATAGAGATAGCATGCTCGTTCGGCGAGAACTTTCCACCGAATATAAGTACCTCTCCGGTGAAACTTTCCTTGATTGAATTATTTCCAACTTGAAGGAATCGTATAGCTTATTTGCTTCTTTTATGTTTTCAAAGAATTATTCTGATTGTATTTGATATAAACAGGGTCGGCTTGCTGTCATGTGGTAATGCAAAAATACATTTTATATTACTAGATTTTTAATATGACAAACTTTAAAGTCTTCTAAAAGTTATTAAAATTGCTCGTTTTAAATGATTCTGAACATTTCTATATTTTCTCCTAGACATAGTCCTGTTTATTCTAAATGATTTTAGGATCTAAAAGGTTCTAATCTAATGATTCTGGATAGCTCTAATTTGTTTTTGAACTGTTCGTGTATCGAATCATATCATTTCAAATATAAAATTTATATTATTTATAAATTAATTTGAACAAAGCTGCACTTAACTTCGCGTTGAAGAGACACCGCTTAACAAGATTTACCAAATGATCCCGTAATTAAGAGGCGCAGAAGAGAGAGGGATCGGGAGGCATTGAATGCACCGAGTGCTCATAGAAATCGGCGTACATGACTCGGGGCTCTTCACATAATTAGAGGCCGGAGTCAAACGCATTTTTACAACAGCTTAAACCTAATGATGTGGGTTTTATATTAATTGTAAGAGTTGCGGAACTTCAAAGAGGAAATATTCTTTCATGGGATTTTTTGGAGTCGCCGTCGGTCGGGAGTTCGAGTGCGCGGAAAGTGCACCGGAGAAAGGAATAAATGTTAGTTCGGAGGAAAAGGTTCTGTGGAGGATAGGGAAAATTTTCGTATTGTCGCTTTATACTTTGGGGCGCGTTTGATAAGGGAAATTCGTAGTGATGGAATTGGAATATTTTTACACTATTATACAAAATTAAATTAATCTTGAAGAAGATATAAATATCTAATATAGGTGTGAACTTAATACACTATCTCCTCATAAAAAAAAAGAATTCCTGGAGCACAAAAAATAAAGTGTTTTATTCCTGTTGATTCCTATGAAACAGTAAAAATAAATGTGTTTTTTAAATCAAAAATCGAATAAATGTTTTACGCGTTAATACAGGTTAAAGCCGTGCTCTTTGGAAATATGTATTATTTGTCATGTTTCTGTTTTAATTTAAACAATTGTTTATATGCACTTTTCACCCGAGTTTCAATCGCATTCAATAAATGCAGTTATTTGATCGATTTCCACGGTTTGCATGTTACCCTAGTTAAAAACAACAAATCATCCCATACCTATAGGTATGTCTATCTACATAAAGTATATAGTATTTGAAAATGTTACATAAATTTTATGTAGCATTATTTATGTAAACATTTTTACATAAATTACGTTTCAAATCTTGAATGTTTACAAATATTGCAGTGTTACCTAATAGTTTATTGACCTAACCAAATAATAATTGATCACTATATCTTTAATATTTAACTATCCATTTGCTACTGTTAATACCTTTATTGTACTATCTCAATCACATCACCTCTATTATTTGACAAGAAATATCTGGTTGTTCATATAAATGAAAACTTTTAATTGCATTTAATTTGCATGCATCGAATAATACTACCTATTTATTCGCTAATATAATTACAATTTTGAAATATAATTTTAATAAGTACAAAATTCCATTAAACTAAAATGCATAGACCACCAACGAGCATTAGATTTATAGTGAAATTGAAATGGCCCATCATTTAAACGAATGTGCCAAATTTATATTGGAACATATTAATTTATCTGTAATATCTGCCTAAACATTTTCAATAATGCATATAGAAATGATTGCATTAGGTACAACAGGTAATTAGTAGTAAATAACGTTGATTAAATTTTATGTTAATATTATTTTATAAAACATTGTTGAAATTATAATCGGAGATTAACGTTGAAAAATTTATCTAGATGTTGTGTGAATAATTCTATTATTTACTATCTTTATTTTGTTATATACTATATTGTTGAACACGTTTTTGAAGAGTTATATATTAACGTTTAAGAGTTAAAATTTAGGATTTTTTCTATTATTATTAAAATGATGATTTCTCCAAGAAAAAGTTAAGAGACAAGAAAATGCATAGTAAAAGATTTTAAAATTATAGATACATGTATGTATAGGTGAATTAGAATAAATACCTTTAACAAATCCACCCTTAAAGTTTGGCTAAGTATAATTCATATTTTTATATGAGTGAAATTTGTTATTAAGAAGAGGTTAAGTGATGACTTATTTAAACATATTAATTGATGTTTCTGAAAAGAAGAACCTAATACTCTATAGGTGAGTCTGTGTATAAATTGGTGAGTATGTAAATCGTAAAAAATGCCTACCTTTAGAAAAAATGTAAAATCACTTTACAAAAGATCTCATCTATCGCATCATCCACCTGACTTTTCCGTCGCAAGGAGTACAAGAAGTTAAAGTAAAAAAAAAACACCCGAACCAGCCACCAAAAAAAACCAATCCCACAATCGACGGACCGGCCGCACCGACGAAAAAAAAAATAAACCAAAATATCCAAAACCAACGAAGCAAAATAATCGGCGACAGAAACAAACAATCGACTTCTACCCGATTAAATTCGCGGGCGTACACCTATTACGCCCGAACTACCCGATAATGCGCCCGCTTGGTCCGCTCTAGCTCAATCGGCTCTCGACCACGTGCTCCCCTATGGCGGCGATCGCTGAGAAAATCTACTCTGCTTCGCTGCCCGAAAGGATACAGAAGACTGGCTTCGGCCGCGTGTCACTCTCTCGTTCAAGGGTGAGTTGGTCCGAGGTAGGGCGGGGCGGGCCTCGCGCCCATACCGCCCCCTTTCGGGCCCCCCGTTTTTGGTGGGGCAGCGCCGCGGCGATAAGCTAAAAACCCGATCATCGCCTTCATTATACCCGCCGTTTCATAATCTTCTACCTAACTTTTTTTCTCCCATTTCCACCTTTCTCCTGCTACTACTACACCTATTAGTACACCTACTATACACGCGCTTAATTGCTTAATTTATACACCCAAATCTAACGACAACAAACTACGAATTAAACGAAAAATTTGCGTGGTTCTCGATGCGAAATCGCTCTTATTCCGGGGCATCGAAATGATTTTTCATCGGCGGAAAAACGATAAGAGCCCCGGATAAATTTTAAATGGGCGTATCTGATGCGTTACGTTCGCCTGAGTGGTCCGGTTAATCCGGGTATTCGATTGGAGGGACGGCGGGCGCCATTGTTCCCAATGACAGAGCGTCGGCGCACTTCGAAACGACGCTTGCTTAGTTCGGCGTCGCGACGGCATTGTCGTCGCGACGTCTTCGCTTACGCGGTGCACGACGGAGGAGATATTGTTGTTGTTGTATATGTTTCAAATGGTATTTGGGTGTTGTTTATGGTTGTTATGGGTTTATTCATTTATGGTGAGAATGTATGGCTTGTAGTAGGTGTTAAATTTTATAGTTATATACTGTAGATGTTCGTTTTCTAGTGATTCAAATAAGATTGTAAGTTTTTAGCTGTATAGTTTTGATATTTTTGTGCTGTATAAAAATCGTTTGGAAAAGCTTGTTAACATGATAAGATTTTAAATGAAAGTTTGTTGAATTTTTTGTTAAATTTAAAGTTTTTCCAGAAGATTTTTGCATGTAATTTTGACGACGTTTAGGATCATATTATTTCACAAAATTAATCGATTTATGTCTCTGTTGAAAAATTCTAGGTATTATAGTCTTCTAGAAGTTCAAAATAGTTCTATAAATCTTCTAACTTGACATTTGTTTGACTGTATAAAGAGGGTACTTAATGCAGACAATATTGCAATGCTTTCAAAAAGCCATACAATAAAATTCACTGTAATAATTCAATTATTCCAAAACAATTTTTACTGCAACATTTTCAAGAAACAAGCTAGCATATTTATTTCCATCAATTTTCTTATAAGAAAGAAGATCTATATACTAGATTTTCTTCTATTATACAACGAATTTTCTATCTTACGAACCCACATTTCATCCAAAAAAAACCCAACAATTCCCTACAAAGGCGCCTTTATAATCCAAAAATTTACGCATTTTTTTACGTTTTCGAGATCGCAGCCTGCGGTGGATAACAAGACAGAAACAAACGACCATCTACACCATCTATACACCATCCCAGTTGGCCGCTGTGATTCGAGTCCGCCGGCCATCTACGATCGAAGCGAATGTTTTCAATTACACTAATTAATTTGAGAGAGATCGATCTGCGCGATTATTTCGGCCTTTTTTCGCGGCGCTTCTTTGCCCCATTCATAAACATGCAGATCCGTTTCGGATCGATGTGTAAGTAGATACCGTCATAAACGTGGATTTGTTCGAGTTCATGTAAGTATTTGCCAACTATATTTCAATATAAATTACGTTTGAAATTTAACAGTGTTTTATTTCGATTTAATTTCTATCTAGTCTCTAGATATCCCTGTCGCTCTGTGCGCATCTATAACAGCGAAGAAAGTAGGTGCTTATGTACGCCCAAAAAGATCCTTTTTTTAAACTTTAAGGCTGTTTTACCACCTGGACACTTAAGCACAAAAACCTCGGATTTATCGTGAAAAAATAAAATGCGAATTCTTATATATATAAAAAGGTAAAACGTATACCAGTAAGAAAACAATGCAGGCGACTCCTCGAAGTGCACCGAACCGCTCACACGTGTATATCTCTATATACGTTAGGGATGCACTTAGGGGCGGTATGTGGTTATTCACCAAAACTAGCAATTACTTTCCGCATAATACGCACAATGGATCACCTAGTGCTTTACAGTTACTTATCGGTGCATGAAAGGTGCCGCTCTTTGCGCTCCGATATTGAGATGGGACCCCGGATTATGGGCTATATACATGCGTAGGTATGTTTTCTTTTTTGTAATGTATACTCTTATTCTGAATGTGCAGAAAATTGGCGGCGACAACTTGCTGTATTAAGACGCCAAAATTCAGCAGATGTTTCTATAATAAATATGTACTTCTATTTCTCTTATATATAATACAAAATTTGATTGCGTGTTTATCGCACAAACAGGCGTTTCATCAACCAATTCCACGCGTTAAAGTAATTAAAATTCCGCACGAACGACACCTAACTAAATACAGAAAAAAAAATTCCGGATCGACTCGATCAAAATATCTATCTTATCATACAACAATCGCCCGGCGACGTTATCACATGTGGGTAAGGCCCAACTGTTCCCTTTCGCATTGCCTTCGTGCAGTTACAAGGGATAAAACGACCCTATTCATTAAGTGCAATAGAAAATGATTCGTTACAAATAACGTAAACAGCGGGGGAGAAAACGCGCCGAGGGTGTCGCCCTCTACACGAGGCTAATCTTCATTACGCAACTATAATAATACGGCGAAAGGTTTGCTCTTCTACATCAATTCAATATCGATGTAACAAGATATGTTACACCCCCTTGATGAGATCTGCAAACATGTATAATCTATTGGTGTATAAATGATATATTGTGTCATTGTGCCATCTATTAAATTTCGTCCTCATGTTTATATTAATAAGGATATGTTGATGTTAAAGGGTTTAGAATATAGAAGATATGAAAGATATAATGAGTTAGAAAATAGAAGTATGTAGAAGATAGGGAGATTTTGATGATAGAAATATTAAGGGATTGAGGAGATTGGTTATTAAATTATAAGAGATAGAAAAATTTAGAAGGTGGGTGGATCATATAGAAGGGAGAAGAATACAAAATAGAGACTGAGGAAGAGGAGAAAAAAATAGTATATCTAGAGGAATTTATTATCTTCAAAATTACCTACAATTTCCACGTTTCTTTCGAACACCTTTAAAACATTTTCATGTACAACTTTCAGAGCTTTACCATCTATTATTGCACCAAAATGGAAACACATAATTCATCCCGAAATTCCCTTATGTCCAGGCTCCCGAAATCGCTCCGATTAGGCCCGTTGAAAGGACGATTCCGATGAACGTTTGTTTCGCCCATCGACCGGCGCATTACCATAATTCCGCACTAAAGATGTCATCAAACAAACAGCAGTTGGCCGACGGGCCCTGCTCTGTCCTGCGACAAATTGGTCAGACACAATGCCCGGCCATTCAACGACGATATCTGGCCATTCATGATGCGTTTCCTCTAAGCAGGAAGACGGCACTCGTAACGAGTGATATTCGATATGTTTGTAGTGCTCGAATTTTGCACGGTTTGATTTTCGACGAGGAAATAAATAAATGCTTTTGTGTCCTGTTTATTTGCTCTTTATTCAATTACTACCCTCGAATATGGTTGTACCAACTGTGGTGGTACAGCAACTTATTGTAAAGGAAAAAGATGAATATAATGATAGAAGAAATTATAAAATAGAGAACTATAAAAAAATTACTCACAGCGATGAAGACATGAAAGATATAGTTAGATATAAAAGACATTAGAAATATAAGCATAGAAAACAACACAGTTAAACAAACAACCCCGCTCAACAATACATATTCCATTTTTATCAATAAAGCTCTCTTTTACGCCTGGTTCGCCGATGCCTCGTGACAATGTCCGGGAGGAATATGCCGGTGCAAATAATGAAAAAAAAAAAAGGAATCCCCGTCACGGTTTCGCGCCCGGTAATTCCTATTGAGGAACGGCAAACCACCATTAATAACTTCATCGTTTTCATCGGAGTTCTTGATCCGAGAAACTCGTACTCTGACCCACAAAAATTAAAAGGGCTCGAAGCGGCGGATAAGATAGCGATCGAGGAATTGCCGTACAGCGGCGTAGAAATTTTCACTTGTACATCAAAAGTTTTATAGGCGATGAATGAATCTAATGCTAGTAATTTTCGCTAATTTATTCGTGATAAAATCGCGCAAATTAGTCGTTATAGAGGAGCATATAAATGTCTAAATTTAGAGATTTTAAATAGATTTGGGCACTCTCCACCAATGCTCGTCGATTCTGTTAAAAAAAGGGAGCGTGTATAGCTTATGAACTGCATAATCGTCGGATCTTTTGAACTTCCAAAAATTTCTCGAAGAAGAAAGAAGCTCGGTAATCCAGAGAAAGGACCTGGATTTCACATTATGGGGATTACAAGGTATACAGGTACGAAGAGGAGCCGCGCCAATATTGCGGCTTTCGGATTTAAAAAGATTGTTGGGGCTTATCGGGACTTTAAGAAAGCACTTAGACACAGATATTTTTTTTCGGCATCGGTTTCAGTCTCGATGTGAGAAAAAAATTCTGTTCGGTCTTCGATTTCGGCATTTTTCAATTAATTTCTTCCATTATATCCGATGTCGAAAGGAATAGACACACGTATTATTTGTGTATCTCAGCATAGAGATTATCTATCCCATTATAATGCACTACTAAGGAGTAATAAGTAGCTTTATTGCGATACAAATTGCGCAACAAGTCATTAATGTTCCTCATTTTTTTTTGTATTTTTCTGTTAACTAAATGCTGATGTAATGGTTCAGCAAATGATTACATGCAAATGATAATAAACGTGTAATCAATTAGATAATGAAGGTATAGAAGATTGAATAGTCAGTAATTTTCAATAGCTTCCATTGCGGCAGCTCGGTAGCAAGATACACGGTATACAATGATGAATATTCACACTATTCACCATGCACGCTTAAAATATTAATAATGCTGCAGGTACACTAAGAAAACTCTATATGAGGATGTATACAA